CCATATATTTTATATCGTGATTAGTCCATTGGCTAATATTAGTCATCAACAATTTCTAATATAGTAGTTATCAATCATCCAATATCAGCGCCAAGATAATATCTATTCTTAGTAACCTAAGTATATCAAATATAGCTATTGACGCAATCAAATATAGAACTGCAGAATTAGTTAGCATAACTTGAAGAAATGCTACCATACCATACTGTTTCAAATTTTAAATAGCAGCCCTAATATGACAATATCTGATGGATGAAATCAAGACACTATAAGTTAGCAACAGTTTATAAAAATCAATATATATATACTACAGAGAATTGCTGCAAGGGTGTGTAATAAGCTGTAAAAGTCTTTGCAAGCATGATGTGTGATGGTTAAGCATGTAAAACGAGAAATGTACAGAATATGAATTACGTATAGAATAGACAGACTAGAAAAATTATTTTATTCAAACTGTAATTCAATATTGTACGAAATTTTTTATTCAATGAGCTCCCAAATTTGCTACGTACGACTATTCTTGGATTCCAGTTTACAGAATTACCGTTCTATCAAGTAAAGTTGCACTATGATTTATTGTCATTTACAAGGTCTTGTTGACAGGTTGTTCGAGGCAATATGGTATTTATTAAGTATTCATGTAATGAAATGATTGCTCCGTCATAAACAAATACCGAAATTGACAGCAAAACATAATTTTATGGCTTATCGAGATTGGCCGGAGTAATCAAGCGAACATTTTACCTAGGTATTAAATGCTTATAAAAATCGTTTATTAAAGTTACGACTTGCCTATAGAAAACATTATAGTGCACTGGCTAACAATACTATAGAACCAAGACTTTAATACGATTAATATGATTTGATAATACAGTAAGCAAATTTGTTAGTTTAGGTAACAAGAAAAAATCTACTTTATTTCTAATTGCGATGCTTTCTTGATAAAAGATTTAATAAATTCTCTAAATTTTAGAGCAAAATTAAATTAGATAATAAATACTTGTTGACACTACATTTATTCAGACAAACTTCAGTAAGCTAAATAACTAAGCTCTTGCAAGACGTATCGCAGCGAATGATTTCTAAAATGCAATCTGAAATTTTCAATCATGTGTGATAGGTTATCTTAAGCTAGCCAATTTAATTCAATACTATTGCATGCATAATTCCAACATTGAGTTATACAGTAGCTTTCGAAAGTCTACTATTAACTCCTATTCAAAGAGCGGGTACTAATAGTATTAAGCTTGTTATAAAAGAAAGAACTTCATAGTCAGCTAGTAGAATGTAAGAGCTAGCTTTAGTTACATAGATTTTCTTCAATTGGTTATAGGCACCTTACTTTATATTGTCTACAATACTCTAGCATTTTAAGTTAAAAACCTTGCGAAAATATTTTTGTGTAGTTAGACGTTCGACCTCCAAACCATAAAATCATTCGATTATTAGTGGATGAAAAATTTTGTAGTATTGACTATTATATTGGGAATTCACTTTATAGATCTACTAATAAAGAAAGTGAATGATCTTAACATCTATTTTACAGGTTAAAAATTGATCACGTTTCATAACTTCGAGCTAATTCTGAGTATGATTACAAGTATTAGATGTCAGAGCTATTATTGTTTAGCACCTTGTATTGATGTTGTGGTACTCAATTTTATTAAACTATTATATGTCACTATGACTGTATTGCCTTTGCACCTCGTATTTTCTAGGCGATATTAGCCTCCTATGAAATTTTGCAAATGAGCAGTCCTTTAACAATTATTTTACATGCAGTGATACAACTAGAACCACTGTCAGTACTGTCCTGTACTATACTGTATTACTGTCTATAGTTAATACTAACAACCTTATTGAGGGTTCGTACTACTCTCCATTAGCATCGAAACAAGAAATTGAACATATAGCTGATGTTGACGTGAAACTAACTACTAACTCCTACTTTGTCTTTTTTGTATTGAAAAACTAACTACTAACTCCTACTTTGCTTTTTTTGTATTGAAAAACTAACTACTAACTCCTACGTTGTCTTTATTGCATTGAAAAACTAACTACTACTCCCACTCTATCTTTATTGGATTGATAAACTAACTATTAACCCCTAATCTCTCTGTATTGGATAGAAAAACTAACTACTAACTCCTACTCTCTCTATATTGGATTGAAAAAACTAACTACTAATCCTACTTTGTCTTTATTGGATTGAAAAACTAAATACTAACTCCTAACATTTCTTTATTGGATTGAAAACTAACTACTAACTCCTAGTATTTCTTTATTGGATTGAAAAACTAACTACTAACTCCTACTCTGTCTTTATTGGATTGAAAACTAACTACTAACTCCTAGTCTGTCTTTATTTTATTGAAAAACTAAAAGCTAACTCCTAGTATTTCTTTATTGGATTGAAATACTAACTTCTAACTCCTACTATTGTATAATATAATATAATCTATACTAACTACTAACTCCTACTATTTCTTTATTGGATTGAAAGCCGGCTGCTTACAGTATATACTGTACAAGGCAATGTTACAGTACATATTATGCTGTACTGTACACATTGTACTGTACTGTACTTGAATTAAAATGTTTATATAAGCGACATCATGATAACAAGTTCAAACGTGTACTATCAAAGTTGATTGCAACTCAAAATAGACCGGGAAAATCTTCAAAGTCGGAATATTTTCTCTTTAGAAGGAAATGAGTTCCTTCGATGGTAGAGTGTCTGAATATCCATGGATTGCAATCGATTGCTTCTTGAAGCAGAACTTTACTGCGCACTTCTATTTTCTATCTCATCTGCATCAAGACCATATGAAAGGACTCGATTCGCCTGCTTTTAGAACTCACCTAAATGGGCGACCGAAGTCTCGTATTTATTGCTCAGAGATTACCAAATCGATATTAATCAAAGATGCAAATTACTCCCACTTAAAATTATTCCTTCAAAGTGTTCCCACCAATGACAAGATCTTCATTGAATTACAACAAACATTCGATACGTCGTATACTGAGATCGAGACGGTAGCAGTTACATTTTTACCGTCTGGTCACTGTCCAGGATCGATGATGTTCTTATTGGAAGGTAAGCATGGCAACATACTTTATACTGGTGATTTTCGAATGGAGGGCGATGAACATAAATTTATGGTATATAATTATCTAAGTGCAATCACCATTGATTCTGTCTATCTTGATACAACGTTTTGCCTACCTGAAATGATGACTATTCCAAAGAGGAAAACTATTACAAAGCAGATCATCAACAAGATACAGCAATGGCTTTGTCAAGGTACCAATCATGTCGTTTGCCTTCGTTGTCGAGCAAGATTAGGATATGAGTATTTATTATCTGAAATTGCCAAGAAGTTAAAGACGAAAATTCTCGTTCACAGCGATCAAATCAAACTCTATGATAATATACCTGAAGTTCGATCCAATCTTACTTTAGTTGATAAAGAAACCAAAATTCATATGTGTATTAGAGGTAGATGTCGGCTTCTATCAGGGCCTCCCACACCTGATAGCAAGAAATTGAAAATTTTACGTATTAAACCATGTGCATTATCATTCGCCTATAATATGGAAGCGTTGAAACAAGGCTGTTTTACCAGAGGTGCCAATTTTTACTCGTTTCTATATTCTGCACACTCTTCTATGGCAGAAATTATAGAGTTTTTAAAATGCCTTCGTCCTTTAAAAGTTTATCCTAATGTCGTACCTGTGAAAGATTCTGATCTCGATGCAGTCACACAAAGAATAAATGGTATTATGGGAAATTGCGATATTCCTCGTAAAAAGACAAAGATGACCGCATCTTGTAGTAATCCTGGCAAAGATCAAGGTAAAGAAATTTTACCATTGGAACCGATAGCAAATACTGATCTTGACTACAAAGCAAGCAGAAAAAAATCCGCTATTATGCAACTAAATGACAAAAATTTGATGCTCGATGATGTCGATCCTTGCCAGCGTTTCATTTGCCGTAGGCGATCTCGAGATATTCAAAATAATAGTTCTTAAGGAGACAGTAGTTACCTACTGAAAAAAATTCTCCAAATTTATAAATATCTTACTGTATTTATTTTTCTTCCCTTTTCTATACGTTAAATATACAAAATTTCAGATTTAGACTATTGCTATTCTTTTAGGAATTTATCAACAATTCGATAGTAAATTTCAAACACGCAGCAATAAATTTGCTTATTCTGTGAACCCATCAAAAATTTTTTCTGATTCCGATGATAGCATAAATATAATATATCAAATCCTTTGCAATATTATTCATGTAGTAACTTATGAGAAAATATCTGTTAGGTTTTGTAAAATGTAAGTAATTCAAACAACATACTCTTTATTGGTATAATATTTATCAAATTATCGCAGTATTTTGCGTACGACTGTGGTAAAGAAAGATGTAATCATGCAATGAAATGAGTATATTCTTTTCGTTTTAAATTTTTGACATATTTATGAGTCTGCTTTTTTTACTAGTATTTATATGGAATGAATTAGTAAAAGAATGTTAAAAGGATAAGCTTAAGTTTCATTAATCGAAGAGGTAGCAAAGCGTCTGCTGTATCAGCTTACGCATTACATACATAAAAAATTGGGTTACAAGAAGAAAGTATGTGCTAAAGTACCGTACTACAATATTATCGCAGCTAACGCGAAAATTAACAGTAAAGTATTAATTAATCTATACTTTACTATACTATACTGTAGATGATCTGGCTCATAAAAATTGCTGTAAATTATTTTCTCTTTCTGCAAGTTACGACGTGTAGTAAATTTATTCGTCACAATTAAGCATCAATTACAAATTGAAATGAAAATAAGGATAAATAACCACCAAAATGCATCATAGTAAAAGTTTGTACTGATTTCTTCCTAGAACAGTTATTGGCTACATGACTGCTTACATGCAGTATGTACCCCTACAGGTAGTCCTATTATAAAAGTCTGATACAGACGGATACTAAAAATTAGAAAGCAGTGTCAGCGAATGCTGATCGATATATACTATGAGTAAAGGATTTCAAAATCACAACAGTTGATATGAACTGCAAAAATATAGGCTAAAAATCTTGTAATGAAGGAAGAGCTGAATGCAATTATGGCAAGGTTAGAAATTTAGCTTTTTGAAAGTAATGGGTGCGCGTTGCATTTTAATTCGCCTAGAAGCATAGCCGCGTTATCTAAAACGATATCTCCAGAAGGGTCAGGGCAACTTTACCGATTCTTATGCATCAGAAATATGAAAATAGATTTATACGTAAGATATGTCTTAAATAACGTATTTGATTAATTTACTTTGATTTTTATTATCAATATACATTTCATGCTATCCATCTTCCTCGGCCATTTTTGGTCACTTGGTGAACAAAATAAATGGCCCATATATTTTTCGAGTGCATGCCTATTTCATTTCTAATTTTATAATGCATAAATTATATTAGAACCATAACAATTACATTTTAAACTTCTAGTAGTAACATTGAATATTACGTAGTATAACAAGGCATTTATTCAACGTATAACAAAAAACTGATATGAAATAAATTTGGTCTGCTCCCTTCCATGTATTCGAATGTACAATATATACGCGTAGGGGCCATAATATTAAAAAATATTTAGTTTAGTCTTTAAGTAATAAAGCTATTGATAGTAACTAATGTCTTATCTAGTGTTACTTCGCAAAGCAATAGCAAGCCAACTAGGCTTTCGTGAGTAATTCCACATTTATTCGCTACATATTAAACAACATCAATCTCTTTATTTCCGTTGCAATAATTTTTTTAAGATATATTGAAAAAAACAGATTTTGGCTCATGCATTTTTGCGTCCTGTCAAGGTTGACACAAAGACAATTTGTTAATCTACCATGTCCTCGTTAGCTTATTTAGTGGTCGTAATTAATGCAAAGCGGATAAGATACGTTGTGTTATTGCTGATTCCTCTCCCTTAAATAGCGTTTACTATTAAGATAACAATATTGAATTTAAATTGTTTCAATACCGGTATTCGACGGTGCTCAACAGTGTCAATTACATTAAAGTACATTATATTGATGGCTAATTCCTAAATAATTATCCTTCAGTTAGCATTAGTAAAGCTTTGCTAGAAGTAATGATAATAAATTGAATAGCGTTAACTACACATTGACGGTGGTATTTTCTAGCATAGTTTTATGGTCAAAATTTTATATAAAGTAGGCGTAGAGTTGCGATGATCCAATCTTATGCCTAATAGCGTACCGTCATAACCTAACCTAGTCTTCGACCATAGATTAATAGCACAATTTTGAGCATATTTAGCATGGCTGACATCTTACAGGCCGTAAATTCCAGTTGATGAAATTATCTGCTAGAGCATCGATGAGCATAAATATAAGCAACATCCTGTCGAATTATTAATAGTAGTCTTAAATATAGATACGTAACTTATATATCTAGTAATGGAAGTCCGTTGCACCATAGCTAATGGCAGTAATGTCTACAGAAGTATAGAAAAATTCTAGTTTACTAGATTAAGTTATGCATCTGAAATACTATAGTCCTAAATGCAGATGACAATACAAGTATTAATTTGCTCAATTTATTCTATAAATTATAAACGTAGATATGCATTGTAGTTTAAAATATTTCAGCAATTTGTAACCATTTTAAAAAATTTTATTCATGCAAAGAAGCTGCAGAAATAGATCAATAAGAGATTTCTATCTTTAACAGCTTTATATTTTGTTATGCAACTTCATCATTACTATCGCCTTAACAAAGAAATATTCAATCCTAATCTAAAAAAATTTCGAAGACACAAAGTTCTGATATGCAGTGATACTACCTGCAAGCAAATGATTCCTTTTCTGTGTTTGAAACACCTAATTGTATGATTCCATACTGTTTAGAAATTAGAAATTATAGTGCGAGGGCAACTTAATTACTTGCTATTTTAGAAAGGGCCTGTTACATACTGTAAACTAACATTCATGTATTTTTAACTGATATAAATACTGTAATTATCAAAATTACCGCAGCGTTTTCCATTTACAATAAACTTAGGTATTATCAAATCCAGAAGAGTAAAACCTATAATGAGCTCTTGGTTGCTTACTCAAGACCAAAACTACTATACTTTGTGCATTAATGTATATTAAAATGAGTATACGTTAATAGATGATCATATCCTCTTCACAAAATTAATAGCGATATTCTTAAAGAAGAAATGATTTTAGTTTGTTACAGCATAGAATATTCGCCTAGAGCATCTTTTAAAAATCATGGCATCCCTTCATTTTTATTGATAATTTATAATTGATTTAATTGCCATTGTTTTGCTCAGGCTATGTTCACCAAGGCCTAAAAGAGGTTCTGGCTTTAACAATAGCAATTAATTTTAATTTTTTAATGTAATAAGTGAACATGAAAAAATATTTTTACCGCTTTTGTTGCTGTATTTGCTATAGCCTTAAATTATATGCTGTCCTGAATCTTACTTATTCCTAACGTTATGTAGAATGGCGGGATTTACGAAATAAAGCGATATACATGCTCATCGAATCAGGCCGTATAAACCAGCATTTATATAGCAATTTAGTATAATATATATTCATGGTTTTTGTTTCTGGATTTCGCTTATTGATGGATTGTTCAAATTATTTCGGCGGATCATATTATTAATCTGCTAAAAAAATTCAAAATCTTACATTAAACAACAAAGACTCATTGACTAGTTCGTAAATTTACGATCGAAATTGCACGGATTGTGTTTGTACGAAATATGCAGATAATTTTATGGTTAAATTTTTATGCATATACAATGAAGAATATATCGAGCACTATAATCAGCTGTAAGATGTAGACATAATCCTTAAGTACAATACTATTAAGAGCCCGAATGCGTGGATTTAGGAAAATTTTTAGATCACTAAGCAAATTTCTGATAGGCAGTCAGCAAATGACCGTTCTTATACTGTAAACGTATCCAAATTTCGTACAAAGTTTCATTCAAACAGAAACTGGGTATAGAAACCTTACAATTTAAAATAATTGAAAAGCAGAATTTTTATCGTATTGAACCAATTGTTTATAAAAAGAAGTCCATATTATTTGCTATGATAGGTTTGTAATGTTACTGAAAACGAAATGGTATACACCCAGCATTGATTTTAAAATAGGTAAAAAATTAATTAATTATGATTCATTAGAGCATAAGGTTGTTTTTGTCAGCAATGTAATGAGTGAATGAAGTGGAGGATTCTCCTTATGTTTGTAATTCTGCGTAGTTAAATAATGCATTTCAATAATTACAGACTAAGTCAAATTTTCAAAGGAAAGCTGATCAAAAGCCACAATCAAGACCGTTTTCTTCAATCGCAATGCTCCATAATTAATGAATTTTTCAAGCCAATTTCCTATCGTTTCTTGCCAGATATTCAGGCATAATGCTTATGATGTCACACCTTCAATTCTGTATAAATTTAATCAAAATTGCTAGCATTTTGATCCTTTCGATAATGATCAAATCGATTACAGGTAACTCCCAAAACTTTAAACAGAGTAGATCTTTGTTCGATTCAAATAGGCATAATACTCGTAGGTGCATGTTTGACGGAAGTTAAAATAAATCTTCACGGTTATTGAAATTAAGGGTTGCGATAAACATTCTATAATTTACATTGTGTTTAGTATTACATTTATAGTTGAATATGTAGAAGTAATTATATGTCATCTTTGTTATCAATTTTCAAATCTATTCTAGTAAATTAAAGTTATGATTCTCTTTTAGGAAACGTTAAATTATGTCCAGAGTTTTGCGTTTGTGATTCCAGCATATTGCAGTGTAAACATGCTAGTATCAACAAGATTCCCGTAATAAATTCCTCACCAGATAAATATTTAGAAATGTAAGTTTATATAACAATTCTATTGGAACTATATCTACAGCTGTTAATGGGGCCATTTCTGAAAAAGAATAAAAGATAAATTTAAATCTAAAAATTGTACGTGATATTGTTAGTCGTTACTAGTATATTTTTAATAACATAACTAAAATTATTACTACCAATCCTTTATTTATTACATTACTTTGCATAAGACTAGATATGTCCTATATTATGAATGCAATTGATAGTCAGAACGGATTAATGAGATACATACCCTAACTTATTCATTTTGCCATCACAGCAATAGCAATTAGCTTAGCTTCCTTTGCGTCCTTGGCACAATTAAACTAAACTGGGAAATTACTGATACTAGGTTAAAAATTATATAATACCAGCGGAAATACGTTCCATGCTTATAATTACTTATCTTACTTCTCTGGAATTTCGCTATAAAGCTAAGATATTTTGCTTCTAATATCACCATAATAGTCCATACTAACTTATGAGATGTATTTTAATTTATTTTATTATACTATACGTCGCGCGAAACTCAGTTTGTTCACATTTCTATCATTGAAATACTTAAAAGTGCTACATTAAAAATAGTCAGCAATGCAACGCGAACAAAGTCTGAATCGTCTTAAGACTTGATATATAGTAGCATCACTATGCTTATATGATCTTTGGTACTTCTAATCAAAATAAAATAAATTTATACTGATCCAGTATACTACTAATGTTTATTATTTCGGCATTCTTTTCTAACGCTTTTACCGTAAGTTTGTACTAGTAAGACTGAACATCGGCAGGCATAAAAATTAACCCTGGCAATAATAATAGACAATAACTGATAGTATTCCCAGATTATAAGATGCTATATAGAATTATCATGGAAACATGGCTTTATTATATCCCTATCCTTTACTGTAAACTTCATTTATGATTTTAAAATTGATTTTTTGCTATAGATTATAAAGTGTAATTAATAAAGATTTTACCAGGTGTATTAGCATACATCTTCACAACATTTTATTATTATTAATGATACCCTAAATCAATAGGACTTCACATAAAATTTAAAATGGAAGCTCTATAAATTAAACATTCCATTTTTTCATTAATTCTTGCTTTTATTTAGGAGTATGTATGAAAATAGCATTAAAGTCATCAACCAAACCGACTTTATAATTTATCCGAATTTAGAAATCATGTAAGTAATTGAATACAGTGATACATATTTGTTAAAGTGATAAGTAGTTTTCCATACCGACAAGATTTTATTAATTAACTGAAATCTTTGATCTAATGTGCTAATTATTCATATAAAAGAGACCTAAGCAGTAACGGACTTGAAACGATCCAGCCTAATACATTTTGTCGAATCAGTGGGCTTCTAGAATTGTAAGCTCTTTATTTAATGCTTAATTATGATGTGCCTTAAGAAATATATTTAACTTTTCCTGATAGCTATAATAAGTGCGAAGACAAATTTAATTAGCTAAAGTGATCAAAGATATTTATATGAGCGCAATTTCTAACAAACTGAACCGATTTAATCTAATAATAAAGGTACTTATCGTTCAACCAACTAGGAGAACTAAATAGCTCTAGCTTTAATTGCCTCAAGACTCTAAACGTTTTGTAAGTGATAATGGATACTTTACAATGCTATTGTAACTTCACTAAAAAATATTAAAGGTAATATTATTTAATGATGGTCCATCTTTCGCCAAAATAAATAATTGATTACTCATGCTGATTCCAAACAGTGCAGTAAGTTATTAACGTAGCATCTAAGTATCATATTTCGGCAGTTTAATAGTTTATTTTCAGTTACGGACTGGTTTTACTGTTATATTAGTTCAAAGACTGCATTTCCTCGTATTAAATATCCTCAAAGTAAGAAATCACTTATGATCAAGCGAACACCAAAACAATAATTTAATATTTAAATTGAGTGTTACAAAACGGCTCTTCGACAAGATAATGTAATGTACAATCAATAAGTCGATTCCCTAAACTACGTATCAGGAAGCAATATCTACCCTGTCAGGAAGACTTTTCCTATACTAGTAGACTACATAAAGACTTAGACACCTCGTATTTTACGTTAAACACTAATCTCAAGAACTCCCTTTATTATGCGATATACCGTATTTTTATACTCATTTACAATAGTTAGACATCCTAGTTAGTAATGTTAACGTTGAAACCTTCTAATGAATCAAAAGCTAATTTTATCTTCTGGTATCTAATGAAGACAACAGTATATATGAACAGAGGCATCTAATGACTAAATACAAAATAGTCAGATTACAATATATCCTATCCCGGAATATTTCGATGATAATCTACAATTTACCATAAGTAAGTTATACTCACAGTGATTTGAATTGTAACAAGATTATTCTGGATTTTATCAATTTCAGTATGCTATATGCATGTATATGTATCACTACCATAAAAGCTAATACTCTATCGCATATTTGAATCAAAATCTCACTAAATAAGGGTAAACCAACAAAATTATCCTAATATAGATATTTCGACTATAATCTCGATATTACAGTGTATAACAACACTGTAACATTGAGACTTATTACTCTCATACTGTTGATGGAGCACGTATATATATATATCAAGCATGTAGATAGGTTAAAATGCTGTGCAAATGATAAAAGAGACGTATTAATGATATTTATTTGATATTTAAGGTAAATAATTTCAATAATATCGATAATTTTATTATATCAATATGAACACGCATCAGATTACAATCACACATGAACCAAAAGAAATGATCTTCATTTTTGTTTATACTCGTATACTAGATTCAAAAGGGTGAATTAGTGAGATTTTATTATTGCTTCTATAGCTAGTGCTATAACAGTTTTCAGCTTGACTTTCTTTGGAATAGGAGCCTTGCAGTTGCTGAATTAACCGAAATTCCAGAAGATTTCTTTTGTTTGTTTCCTGAATTACAAGAATTGTATGTTAACAAAATTTCTTCTTAGCTTTAATTCTCTCCTAGTTAGCCTTCAATAGGAATGATTCGGGTTCTCTTTTAGGATATATTATGGGAATTATTTAAAGGAAATAAGCAATAATACCTTCGCCTGCCTTACCAAATTGACGTCTTTGTATGTTTTAAAAAGAATTGCTTTCCAAAATTTGTTAGCGTAGATTTATTAATACAGTAAGATTGTTTAAAATTTAATTTCCATCCTAGTAAATAAATTTTCGATTCTCATCTGATTGAGAGCCATTAAGAATAGCAGATATCATGCCTAAAAAATTTTCCGTAATTATAGCTTATTAATGATATTTTCTGATATGACTGCTTATCGTCGATTACTTCAAACTGATAATAACATCAAAGCAAGAATTATAGTTATTGATATTGTAGTAATTTCATTGGCTTTAATCAAAGACAGATTCTTATATTATTTTTCCTGATGTAATTTGCAAAAGATTTAGTTAGCTTAAATAGAATATAAAATTAAGTTAATATGATATAATAATAGCCAGATAAATTGCGATAATAAATAAATACTCTATTGGGCTGAAATTATTTCTCCTATTAATAATTAAATTATTTAGCTATTATTTTTAAATTTGAATTCTATCACAGAGATTTAGCAATGAATGAAATCTCCTACATTGCGAGGGACTCATTCAAAAGTTTAACTTCGCTCTCGGAAATGTATGATCTAGATTCACAATTTTATAAACTATCTTAATGATATCAGCTTCTTGGTTAAATAGCTATTATTGCATAAAATATTACGATAACTAATATCAATAATTTCTAGATATCTGTCATATAATATTTTAACTTCCTATAAAGAAAGCCTCTTTGGAAAAAATACCAATTTAAAATACTTGTAAGTGAGGTCTGCTTAGCCCAAAAGCTGTGACGACATTTAACATACTGTATTCAACTTAGCAACTTAGCAACAAAAGAGAAACGAATGCTTGTTAAGTCAAAACCTTCTAGTTTCTATGATATCGTACTTATTATTATATGAATACCTCCATAACTATCGATTTAGCCACAATAGAAGTACTTTAGTTTTACCACAGTGTAAAGGTAAGATTAAAAAGTTATTAACATTGGAATATATAGTAATAAATGTTTTAAATATTAAAATATTCTCAGGTATCTTCACTTTAATTTAATCGAAGAGGTTGGAAGCTCAAGCTTCTGCGAATCGGAAGCTTTAGTCAACCTGTAAGAATTCTGTATTTTATAGGATTTTTTAGTATGATCTATAGTTTAATGATTTCTTTAACGATTTATTTTTAAAGAGGTAGACGTTTGACTAATATGAATTTCTATTCTTGCTAACTTTACATAAGATATCTGCATGGTAATAAGTTAGAAGATATCAACAATCAGACCTTAGGTTGTTTAAAAAAATTACAAATATTGTAAGTTCTAGGCTTAAATAAATGTACGAACATTGCCATACTAAGTATTTCGAATAATTTTTAAGCATACGGTGCGAAAAATAACAGCTTTCAGAAAAGTAATAGTAACCTATTTACAAGATGTCTGTAATCTAGATTTTATGCCATTGGCAATTTTAGGAGAATGTTGAACATTTCTTTCTTGCTATATGCGGTAGGGATATTTCGTTAAATCCAATCAAAACTATTCACCCTAATTCTTTTTGTGGTATGCAACGCTTACATACCTTGTAAGTATTATAAGAAGAATGAGCGTAATTTTAATTGAATTACTTATTTACTGATATTTCGTTTTGTAATTCATCTATTTGAGATTTTATTGGTCAATGCTTTAGTTTATATTCTTTTATTTCACGTAGAAACATGAAAAAAGTTGATTTAACGTACATCAATAAAAATGACTTCAACTGCTTGGATAACCTTCAGACCTTGTATGCTTTTATAGTATATGAAAACATAGAAATGAGATATTGCTACAAACTATAAAGATTAAATATTAAATAGCATACCGTAGTATATCTATTCATACTTTGTTTTAATTATTCTACAAAGAATTAAGATGCCTTAATTGAATATATTTATTGATAAGAACTTAACTAGGTATCATTCATCATAATAAAGATTATATTATTCATAATTTCTCCTTGTTGAATGTCAGAAATTTACAGGGCAGTGCTATTAAGAATATAGAAAAAGACTCATTCTGCCATACTCCAGGATTGAGCAGCTTGTACGAATTTCAAAGAATAGATATTAAAATTTTGGAGTTATGCGAGCATATGACTAAGCGCTAGCCTACTATACAAATTGTTTGAGATATTTTAATGGCTGCCATTGTAAAACGAGTTATTGCAAAACATAGTTTGTAACAATCTATTTTTAAAAGATATTGTAACTTTAGATTCGTGCAGATATATTATCAGGACTTCCATTTAGCCTAACAAAAACTAATCTATATATTTTTGTAATGATTATAATTTACTCTCCTAATCTTAGGACCATAGAAAGATGCGAACTTGATGAAATAAGAAAGGATACCTTTGCTTGTTTAACAAAATTGGAAACCTTGTAGGTTCTGAACGGTTATCTAGCGAGACCCCATTAGTACAAATTTATGTTAATATAATATGCAAAGAGATAACTTATACCTAGATCGTAGAGGTCTAAAAATAACGTTTCATTTATGTATCGATTAAAGAAAAATAGGAATGAATAAGATCTTGAATATAGAACCAAAATCCTTCCAACAGTTAAAAAGTTTGAAGAATCTGTACGTCTTTGTCAACGTTAACAGTATCTAATTCTTTTTTGGATTACTGTACTTGAGGATTATTTCTAACGGCAAAGATTAACATATCCGTTTTCCGCACCTAATTAATTCGCAGGTATCTGAATGACAATAACCTTAAACATATATCCAACGCGACCTTCTTCGGATTGAAAAGTTTAACAGTGCTGTAAGTTTACTGTTTATTGTTAGTGATACAAAGAAAAAATCATTAGTTATTTTAGTGCTTATATCGTAGTTACAAATTAGGTGATTAAAACGATAAAGAAAAGTAAATATAGATACAAAATTAGGCGATATCAACCAAGATCATGAGTTTCTAACAAGAAATAACAATAAATTCACTAATTAAAAGTTACAAAAATTTTTGGATATTACGACTTTGGGGTTTGCCAAATACATCCGTTTACCAAGTTTTACGTAATTAAAGTTAATGTCGATGTCATAATATATAGTGTTACCTTTGAATTTGAATGATATAACTTATATCGAAATAATAATTGCATTTAGCTAAAGTGCATTCTTATTTTCCGTCTATCCAGCTAGTGATTAGTTGAGTATAGCTAATTAGCTATTTCTAACACTTATACAACAATTACCGATAGATATCAATTAGAGATAATTTAGTCGACGAACAGAATTAATATGATCTCTAAATATTTTTAGTATAATACAACCTTTGCTAAAGGTAGTAAATTACAACCTATTTTGCTATAAAATAGCATCTAATATGTAAATCTCTCTTTGATAACATATTACTAAGTTCAATATTTTTATATTCTGCAGTAATGTAGGTGTTAATAGCATATACTCAATTCCTGCGAATACATTTTGCCATACCTATAATTTGTTGCAGTTGTATGTATTATATCTACTCGTATACCTGCTTTTAATTCGAAATTTTTTGTTACGAAAATTGATGTTACACTTCGATTACTTACGATATTGCCCTTTTTTAACTTATAACTTTATGATTTTAAGTTATTTGTATCGATTATTTTCAGGTACTTAACGCAGAATTTCATTAGCGATATTTCTAGCGAAACATTCAAATGTCTCTATCGCTTACGAAATCTGTAAGTAGTTTCCTTTGAGGATGTATGATCTTGCTATCGGGCATTAGTTGCTTAGCACACAGTATCTGAAATATTTTCTTATTTCACAATATTTGATATTTTATTTAAATTACAGATTTATCAGTATCAATTCTATTGAATCTCTTGAAAAGGGCTCGTTCAAGTATTTAAAAAGTTTATCAAATCTGTACGTTTTTAACTACTAGAAACTTCTTAAAATCTTTGGCAGTCTATCATTATGGTAATGTTTTAACTTAAATTAGTTCAAATGTACCTGGCTAAGTTTTACTTCCGCTACTAGGCACATGAATTCAAACAGCATTTCAAATATCAGTGTCGGTGCATTTCAGGGTCTTGCATCAGTAACGTATATGTAAGCGTCATATATATATTAAATTACGATATATAAAACGCGCGTATTGATGTTATTTGCAGATATTAGCCTTAAAGGTAAATGGGAATTTACACGTTTCTAGGGATTTTTCAGATAATCTAATTCCTGAATTATTTCCATTTCGAAATATAAGCTTGCTATCCACACTGTATGTAAATTTATTTGTTCAAGAAAACACTATCGTTTAGTGTGAATTTATAGGCTAATATCAATTGCAGTTTCCTGTAGCGTAGCTGATGTGGGTTTTCCACGTAAGTTTAGTAATATATTTGGAAGCTAACTTAGCATAATTCAATTTTAATAAAAATAGTATTCTGGATGAAAACATTGTTACATCTATTGAAAATAATGCATTTGAAGGCACAAATCAGCTGCAGAAACTGTTTGTATATAAATACCTAAAAATTAAGTGGCAATACAGATCTTGTATTGAATTTACTTATGTATTCTTTTAGCTTAATTTAATGTTTTATTTCACACCTATATAGGTCCATAAATACGAATAAAATTTCTGTAATTGACTCTTTTGCTTTGAAGGATCTAATAAAGCTTAGAGAATTGTAAGTGTGCAATTACCTTTGAGAGGCTCATTATGTTTATCAGTTTATGTTGCCTATTAATTATTTGATCGGGTAAAGCCTATTCGGGTAAAAAGTCTATATTGTCATTACTTTCCTTGCTGAAGTAAAATATCTGTAACTTTACGAGTTATTATAGCATATGCTTAAATCTATCCTAATAGGTAATATATGTTAACCTTAACTTATGTTTTATATCAGTAAAATAGGCCATAATTTGTTGGTTTAGTGCTTTTACGATACGTAAAATAGCTCAGTTGTGTATTGATATACTTTATGTCGAATTAAATTATCAGATACTTTCGTTATGGCGGATCATTTAGTCTGATATTCATGGAGTACTACTGTATTCTTCGGTACTAAAATCAATAAGGTTTAATCTGTATTAATCTTGCACATTAGTAAAAATTCTTAAGTATGTGGATTGACCTTATGAATTGCCTAAATTAGAAAACTTAGCGGAAATCCTTTAAGAAATTTTTCTGGTTTATTCTTACCTGACAGTATCAACATGACATCTTTGTAAGTGTTAGCAGCTACGCTAATATAGGTATGGGCATAGACTTAGTATTTGAATAAATCACACTAATAGATTTGTAACTTGATACCTAGCGAGCTTTCAAGTCTTAATATTCATCAATTCCGCCAGCTAAATATAACTGGTACAACAAATATTTTGTAAGTTCAGTTAGAGTACTAATTTGAATCGTCTATCTATTTCTAATGCTATTGAATATGGTAAGGGCAACAAGTTATACAATAAGGCTACCGAACAAATTTGGATTTTAATTGCTTTATATTCTGTTGATCTATCGCTAATAACTGATAGCATTTTGTATATATGTTTACGAGTAACATAACGAGATTCGTCTATATGAAGATTATAATCTCAATAAATGGTTGAATTTTATCATCAGAGATCTGTCTTCGAATCACATGGATGATCTTACCAGATTTCAATTTTGTGATTGTTTAACCTTGTAAGTTTATCATTAGAGATTTATTTCTTTACAATTGCATTTTGAAAGCTAGTAGAACGCTTTAGAACTCTAGCAGTTCTAGTAATGCTAAATTATTGTCTGAGGAATACATAGTTAAGCCTCAAACTCGACAGGAAAATAAATTCCCTTCAAATTTGAAACAGCTTTCACTTTTAGCATTAAGCTAGTTTGAAAGTTTCTTCATTAATACAAGTTATAATACGCTATATTTCAGAAATCTTTCTCAAAACAAATTGGCATATTCTAGAAAGATGAATTTTTCGTCGTGGCCATCGTTAACACAACTGTAAGTTACGGTTAAATACTTGTATCTTGCGTAAATGATTTTATTTAATCTGAGTTACTTGCGACGGAACTCACGGTGTTACTTACAAGGGAATAATATCAGCATTATGCTTTCCTGATTCGGATTTCAGCGATTTATCGAAAAACAGATTTAAAGTCATTGATTGGCAGACATTTTTAACGCTAAAGTTTCCTCAAAAGTTGAAGATAATGTTTGTATCAAAACTTTTGCATGATTATCATCTCTTAACATGTACAATTGAATGCAAGGACGGCACTATATACCACACAAACTATTATCGGTACCCCAGTTTCATTGCACTACAGTGAAAGATTGAAAGAATCGCTATCGATTAGTATACTGTTGTCACGAAAGTTATCTTCGTGGCATATACTTTATTTCTATGTTACGTTCTATATATGTTTGTATCTCAGAAATGTTTTACGGTTTCCTTAATTGTAATCTTAGTGGTTAACAGTTAATATCCTTAATTTAGGATTACATAGACTAAAATAGTAATTGACAACCAGCTAAACTGGATTATATCTATCACCTCCAAGTTGTTAAGGTTCAAAGTACAATTCCTAAGTTTATAGGAAATGTCTTAATAGGATAGCTTTATGTGTATCTGTTAAACTAATAATAAGCATTGATTATTTTAATACTGTTACAGTAAATTTAATACGATTAGACTGTATCTAATCGGTACAGATAGAATCTCTTTAGGATATTAATTTGGTTAATTTCTAATAGACGAGGTGACTTTTGTAGCTAAACCGATTTTAGGTCCGAAACCTATATAAACGGCGAGTTCGCCAACAATAAATTAGATTGTGATTTTCTATTAAGTCTTGAAGGTCTCCCTACGTTGAACCCTATCTGCCTTGGAATACCAATTGTCTGGTATTCCAAATAACTGTAGTAAAGGGTAGAAGTCACTCTCTTAATACTTGTTGCAAGATAGGGTTAATCCTAATTCCTAACAACTGTATACGCAGTACTTTCCATAGTAAATAACATTTTTAAGGCAAAATTTTGCTTCCGAATTGAGTCTCTAAAAACTGTCAAAGACAAGCTTTGCCTTTATGGATATGAACATTTTAACGATTTAAGTATTAGAATTAAGTTCTGTGCTACTTAAATACTGTTCTACTGCGTCATTAAAATAATTTTTTAAGTAGAGATTTAAGTTTGATTGTCTATTCTAAACGATGCATTCTAAAACGTAATTAAGTGACACTCAATCCTAAAGATCTTACTTAATTAACAGTTTGTTATTACTAGACATTGATATGAAACTTACAGTTACGAATTTTTTCTAAAATCAAGTCAAAAGACATGAAAAGTACTCTTATCTCCGTAATCTTACTAGGAATCTATCTGAAAATCTCTTGCAATTGATCCATGCAAGAACATTCTCAACAATGCCGACTTTGGAACGGTTGTAAGTAGCTTTATCCTATAGTATATATTACAATAAAATTAGAATTTTAATTTATTGTATTTTACGAATCTTCTCGATAAAGATAAATATATAATATTTTACCGAAAACGCCTTCAAAATATTTTTTTGATCAAAACTTATATTAATCTCTCGTAAAGGTATTGTCAATCAAATGAATTGAAGGAATTGAGTTTCCTAAGATCTTTGTCAGGTCTTAAATACCTGTATGTAAAACATTAGGCTAATAAGTACATATTAAGGCCATTATCTATATTATGTAAAAATATTTTATACGTGTGGTGTGTGCCTATAGTAGTACATAGTCCGATATACGAGTACAGAAAGTGAGGATTTGTAAAAATCATAAATAAGGCACGTGAACATAATACGAACGACGAGTGCACTGCATATCTTTAGAGGGCGTATTTACAAACGTTCGAGTACGCTTATTCACGTTATAAATTCATGATGAGCGATAAAAAATTGCCACAAGCTAAATTTTTCAGCAGAATAGTAATACCAATTCTAGTGTTTTATAGATACTGTATAAGATTTTTAAAAATGGCTCAAATGCTAACATTTACTTACTGTAATCAAAGCTCTCTAGTTGATAACGAAATTATTACATTGAATAAAGAAGACTTCGCCAATTTAACGCAACTTGAAGAATTGTAAGCTATGCTTGTAAATTTCAAACATTGTAAATGCAATTGATTTTAAAATATGAAAAGGGAATATGTGAATTTGCCGAGTAAATATATAATTATCGCGCAACGACATGATATTTTCTAGCCTATTTCTCTTCAGGTTTTGAATACTGTGATATTCTTATTCTATAAAAAACTCTGCATAATAGTACAAAAGATTTACTTCCGGCCAGCTGATGCCAAAATATCAGCACAAATTACTAATTCATATACATAACAGGATATTACGGTAGTATTTTACCGTGTATGATTTTCTTAGATTTTTAGACAAAAATTTTATTAAAGCTATGACCAATGACTACTTTACAAACACTAGGCTGCAAGTGCTGTAAGTGCTTTTCACTTCTACAATTAGATTTGCAATAGATAAATTATGCAATCCAATGTACGTAGACTATATTGAATTCTATAAATAAAATTTACTATATGCTGCTGCCACAGATCACTAGCGAAGAATGATATTCACACAATAACGAATGCTTTCCATGGTTTGTCGTCTCTCAAAACCCTGTAAGTGGCAATTTGCATAATAGGAATTTTCTATCTAGTAAACCAAGCTGAGATAAAAAGAATGTTTATAAACCCCAATAGATTGTAAGTTAATAAATTGCAGCACTCCAAAGGGTCAGTGTTGGTTTGCAAGCTGGCTTTGATAGCCTGTGTAGATATATTGAATAATGGAATACTTAGGCTAGCAAGGTCACTAAACAGAATATTCTTATTCTGTTGTCCCGGTTAGAGGTAGTAATCAATTTACAAATATTCCCTTCTATATGAGAATAAACAGCGGATAATTAATTGATATTGTAACCCAAAGATAATTCGTCCAAAATCTTTATCGAGCTTTAATATTTAAACGTAATATAATTCTAATAGGTATAGGGTATTAAATATAAATACTTTAGAGAGCATAGTAGAGCTCGTGCATTATTTAATATATGCGTACTTAATCTAATGACCCTATAATAGTCTAAAAGATATTTTATATTATTTCTGATGCTATGTCAATGACATAAGCAGATCATTAATCAGTTCCTTTTAATTGATTTCTTCTATTCTTAATTGTAATTCCGCTGAAAGAAATTTGGATAGCAACAAAATAGATAATTTGACTGGAATATTTGTAGAAAGACTTTCAAATTTAACTGAACTGTAAGATATTAATCTTTGGCGTACATTTGCTTACGTGTTCTCAACATTAATTCGTCATATTGAAAACTGTATCAAATATGGAGCGAATTTTGGTTTCAAATAAAGTTGAATAAGATAGACTTTACAGTTGACTGCATATTATTCAACCTGTAGTTTGAATTAACATTTATTCAGATCAATGCAGCATAACTTGATCGGATCATTAGAAGGGAATTCATTAAGAAATTTAATTTCCATGACGCACTTGTAAGTGTTTGCTTTGAAATTCAGTAGGCTTAATCAGTCGAATTTGATGAGCTTGATAAGTCATTTCGTAAATGCATAGAGAATTTGTAAAGCTACTAAAACCATCGTAGTCTGAGCTTCAGTACAATTGGAATAATTTTATCATTAACTTTTTGATTTAATTTTCAGGAATTTTTACGGAAATAAGTTGTCTTCAATTAGTAATCTAATGTATTGGAATTTTGTGAGATTGTATGCTGGGAAGAATATTTTTGTGTTCAATATTTTATTAGTATTTTAATAATCATATATCATTTAAAACTCATAAAACAATTTTAAAAGTTGATATAAGGAACCACTAGCCATGTAGTATCAACAACCGAGCCAAATAGATTGAGAAAAATGATTAATTGATAATTTGATTAATTATTAGATCTGTCGGAAATAATAAGCTAAATACTTTATCATGTTCTGAACTACCCTACAACACCTACGAATTGTAAGCTTTTTCCGTAAATTTAAATTTTGTAGCCTAAAATTCCGTTAGCCGGCTTTTTCCTTAAGCTTGAATCAGTATTGTTGCGAATAATTTTACTACTTCATTGCAGAGATCTGAGCAAGAATAATATATCTAAGATTGACTCAAATTGTAAACATATCTTAGGCCAAATTGCTATACTGTAAGCATTGAACATTTTATGTTGTTCAATTTTTTTGAGATAAACGCGAGCGAATAAACTGCGAGCATAATGACCGTTATATTTTAATTTCAGGGATCTTAGCTGTAATCAATTAGTAAGCAATGGCATTAACATTCAGAAAGATATTTTGGAAAAACTACATTTTGTAGTGTCATTGTAGGTTGCATTTCGAGTTATTAGAATTAATTCAAAATAGTTAGAATTCCTTTCTTATAAGACATCATTTATATAAATAGGTTCCTAGCAAGCTATAAGATGCTATTTTTAAATTTTGAGCTACAAATTTAACTTGCATTTTAATTTGATTATTCCAATTCAGGAAATTAGCAGGTAACAACATCGCAGAGCTACAAAATCCAATTAGACATTTCAATTTGTTGAATCTGTAAGTAAGATTATGCTGAAAATGCAGGTACATCCAATATCTCAGTGATAATAAAGGATTTTCAAGAACCTGTATTAGTAATTTAAAAATCTTACACTAAAAAAGGGAATATCTGAAATCATGATTACTGAACATCTTTCATAGCACCTTGTCACAAAACAGCTTTGCAACAAGATAACGCAATATACGATCAATAAGTCAATTCCTTGAACCACGTATCAAGGAACGATATCTGCACTATCACAAACACTTTTGCTCTACTAGCAGACTACACAAAGACTTAAACGCCTCGTATTTTACGTTAAACACTAAGTTGGACAATTCTTCTTTATTTCACGATATACTGCATTTATATACTATTCCTCAATAGTTCATGAGTCATAGTTAATACAATTAACATTAGAATCATTTACTGAATTAGATATTAATTTTAGCTACTGCTCCCTTAATGCAGACAACAGTATTTACGAACATAGACATGTAATGACTAATACAGAATAGTCAGATTACGATATGTCCTATCACGGAACATTTCTATGATAATTTACAGTCTACCATAAGTAAATTACAATCACAATGATTCGAACTGTAAGCAGATGATTTGCATTCCCTATTATAACTATTATAATTTCAGTATGTGTATAAGTGTCACTGTCATAAAAAGTCAGTGCTATATTAAAATACAGTATATCCAAATTAGAAGTTAACTAAATAAGGATAGTCTAACAGAATTATCCTAACATAGTTATTTCTACTGTAATACAGTATTTAACACTGTAACACACCTGTTAATTTATTTTCCGCGCTATGCTATTTAGTACCAACTCATAAAGTATGCCAACTTAATCTTTAACCCTACAGAGATATTAGTAGTAACCCAATTACGCTCTCAAAAATCGTTGGCAAGATTGATATAATCGTAAAGTCTTATTTGCAAACCATGTAAGTAAACTACTTTCGCATACCTTAAATCTGTAAAAATTATTACTACTTTATTTAAATGTAACAAGTGCAGTACTTTGATAACCTTAATCAATAATAAATAGAAGTTTGTAAAACTTGTTTTATAGCTGCATAACACTATTTTATTTTCAAATATGGCAAACTTAATCTAATTATATTATTATATGATGGGCATTAGCATTGCTAGTAATTGTCTAATATCAGATATTTATGGGATTGGCTTCCACTTCTTTACCCAATTAAGCACACTGTAAGTTTTATGAACAGTTGCCATGTTATACACATACTTAAAAACTAAAATGCATTAAAATATTTATTCATTTGTTTAATACTCTTTATTTTTTCTAAGGTTTATTTTGAACATTTTTGTAGAGTAATTAATGATAATAACCTAGAATATCTAGATATGTCTTCCTTCAGAAAAGAATCTTCAAAGCTGATGGAACTGTAAGTAAAGATCACTATTAGACTGATTAAAAGTCTATCTTTTTATAGCAAGCTTAAGATTTTAATTTTGAATTATGACAATACTTTCAATACTGTCCTTAGACAAATTGCTGGAAACAATTTGCAAACATTGAAATTTTCATCGAAAACTCGCTTCATTCAATTAAAATTTTTGTGAGTGAAGACATATATCAATTTAAAAAATATTTATTTTTACGACTTCCTAGATTTTCTAAATACTTAATATAAGTAATATTTGCTGTGTTTTAACACAATGCTTAATAATTATGACAATGATGTCATTAACAAATGTTTTGTTATTATAAAAGAAACCTTTCTACTAATAAATTATCCGACGTCTGTAAGGAAAGCTTAGCTTTTCATTTTGCCAAAATTGAAAGACTGTAAGTTATGAGTTCTCTTATCACAAGATTAAAACATTACTAATGTCACGTTAGGAGATGTATATAGATACATTTGCTTTAATGAAGATATTTATTTCTGATATTGATGTACATATATAGCTTTTTTGATTAAATGGCAATCTTCTAAAGTCGTTAAGCACAGTATCTTTCAGAATTAGTACATTTGTAGTTACTAAAATATCATTTTAACACATTTCTATTTGTAAGTTCTAGCTACAGACAGTTATAAATTTTTCATTAGATAGAAATTCTATGACTAATAAATTATTTGTAATTTCAGAGATCTTAGCCGTAATAACATTAACGTACTTGAAGAAAGATGCTTTAGAGGCCTTTTGCAGCTGAGAACATTGTAAGTATTCCAATCAAAAATTAAAAAATTTAATTATCGATTTAATATCTCTATAGATTTTGCAATATTGTTTACAAAATATTTGAGAATGAAACTTGCACAGGTTTGCATATTAAAATAATGAAATGGATAGTGATGTAATAAAATCACTAATATGTCCGGTGACGCTAACCAAACTTGAATATGCTGATTGTAGCCCTTTAAAATTAGCTTCATGATCGATTCCTAATGCTTTAGTGTTAAATGAAAGAACGAAAGTCTCTACTAGCTTACCTGTTGAAGTAGTTTAATAACTTAGCTGGAACTATTTGTCCATTTAATATAAGTAATATTTACATGGGCTATTTAATTTTTCTAAATCTTTTTAGATTTTTACAAGGAAATACGCTTGGGTATATAAGTGCAATATCTTTCTACGGACCGCCTAGGTTAACAACAATGTAAGTTGATAATATACTGTACCTAGCATTAAGCATATTCTGCTGTGATATGACAATATTTGAATAAAAGTGCATTTAATCAGTAACCTGGGATACATTTACTATATACCTTTGAATGTGTAATATGAAATAATTAAAACTAAGTTCCTTATGCTAGATCACTTCTTCAATAAACTACTTGTTGATATGGTTTACATAACATTTTTCTGATCATTCTTAGCGATATTAAAGGCTGTAATATTCTTTGTTCTAGTTTATCAGATCGAGATTATTTATGCTGTATAGTTCCCTCTAAGGTTAAGACATGTTCTCCTGATATGCATTCAACAGTTCTCAACTCTTGTGAACGTCTTCTATCACATGTTTCACTGGAGTCATTTATTTGGATTATTGGTCTTTTAGCTCTAATTGGGAACATACTAGTTCTAATTCAAAATTACTCAGTAGTACAACAGAAGAAAAATCCTGTTCCCATGTACCTAATTAATAATTTAGCCACTTCTGATCTTTTAATGGCAGTCTATTTACTGATTATCGCCATTGCTGATATAAATTTTACTGGCAATGAATACGGACCACATTCTGAATTATGGTTATCTCATCCGATGTGTCTAATAGCTTGCTTTTTAATTTCATTGTCAAGTATAACTACGTTCTTAGTTATGATGATTATTTGTGTGGACAGATATATTTGTATAGTCTTCCCTTTTACTTCCAAGAAAGTTGGTACGAAAAACGCGAAAATCGCTGTTGGTATTATGTGGATGTTTGGTATTATTTTTTCCGCAGTACCTACCTTATTTAGCATACAACAACCAGGCTATCTGCGATTATACACATATAGTAGTATATGTGTTCCGAATAATTATCAAAACTTTTATTATAGAATGTGGATGATATCACGTTTACTCATTACCGTGATAGGTTGGATCAGCATGTTTATATTATATATTCAAATTTTTATTACCGCCAATATCAGTGCTAAAGGAATACGCAAATCGACCACTACTAAGAATAAAATGCTCGCAATCCGTTTGTTATTAATTATGCTAACAGATGCAATTTGCTGGATTCCTTATTATTACGTTAACGTAGCAGGGTATTTGACAAGCGGTAAGGTTGATCCAATTACATTGCAATTTATCTCTATCTTAACACTGCCGATCAACGCTGCAGTGAATCCTTTTTTATACACTGTCACCAACATCGACACCTTGAAGAGATTATTTCGTAGAAATTCCAGGAAAGGCACTCTACAAGCACAGGTACACCTTCCTACAAGGACGACTATTACGTTTATTAATCAACAGCAACGTTCAGGAGGTGTTACAGTTTAATTAAAGTAAGAAGATTCCCTTCAGCACGTAGATGAATAAGCATCATTTTTTTGAATGCTCTATATTTTATTTCAAATTCTACTTCTTTTGTATGATCCAATAAGGTTACTACTTTGTAAATTATTCTTTCTTTTGAGGCAAATTAACTAACATTCGTAGTTAAAATTGAAAATTTTTGTAATCATCTATAATTCTTATTCTATATTTTGATTCTTGTTCATATTAGTAATCATGGCAAATAAATCTTTACAAATAAATGTATATATAATGGTGCTTAAAATAATTATTATACGAGTATGTATCAGATGTACACACTATTAATCGATTTGCCCAATTTCTGATAGCTATCTACAGTATGTGTAAACATAATGCGGATGCGTTGCTGGCGCATCTTTTCATACCTTACGGAAAAAATCTTTTACCTGTAGTGAAATAAGACGCAACACTAAAAATTAGTTGCTCCAATAAGTATCTAATAAACACACTAAAAGGCTTATTAGTTCATTCATAATCTTGTACTCCATGTTTGCACTTATCCTTATTTAGATTACTAATTTTTATTTCAATAAATCTGTTGCCGACCACTAGCATCTGAACTTGTATAATATTTTGTACATCACCGATGTCTTCAACTTATGTTAGGCTTTGCTAACGATAACATGATTGCTTGTGTAAAGAGAATATTATCTTATTACAGGTAGGTCTTTTTAAAATCGATGTAAGAATTGACTCATGATAGTCGCTAAAGATCCTGAATACTGAATGTTGATTATATGTCCGAAATTAGGAGAGAGAACTGTCGATGTTGATTGATCATAGTGACAGTGATTTGAAAGTACGTACAGCGTCAACTCGATTCGTGTCCCGTTCTACTTATTAGGATTAGGTTTAAGGGGGAGAAGAAGAAATTTTTGCTTATACTCGTCTACACTGTGATTTGTTTTCTTCTTTGAATTATTTGAATAGTAAAAGCTTTAAGTAAAACGCTTCAAAAGCACCATTGGTTAAAGCCATACATTTGCGATTCATTTAATACAAATTGATGCAAAAATTACAATATGGAATGGAAGGGATCGCGTCGGACAATTCGGCTCGACTAGGAAACTCATCTAAAAAATTCTTCCTTATATAGGCCAAGTTAGAACTCTGATTTTTTTATCTTTACTATGGTTTAGTCAATCAACTCTACTGTACAGAGTACATCGCAAATCTGCGGGATCTAATGAAGAGGGATTACTAAAGAGAAAGTGAGTGATTCTCTTTTTAGTAGTCTGTGATGGAATCATGGTGTATCTAGCTATCCATGAGGATCAACGTCAATCGACAACTCCCCTACATTACATGTTGTGACGGCACTATATTGACTAAATTATAGAGTTTAAGAAAATATTGTTGCTGACAGTGTTTCAGTGTTTGCGTATACCTTATTTCTACTAGTAAAATATACCCGTTCATGTGAACGGAGGGAAGGAAGTATAATAAAATATTGACAATGTTGAACAGCTACTATTCTTGGATTTTTGTCGTTGTAATTTGCCTGTATTATTGAGTATGTAGTACTGTTTAATGATTTAAATCTTGCGCAAAACTAAAGGTATCATGCAAATAATCTACTTTAATTAATTCAAATTGACATTGACAATTGATATAATTTCTAGCCTTCTGTTGACAATTTACAATACATAAAATCATCTCAATTCAACTATGTAGACACTATATGCAAGGATAATGCTGTGCTAATAAGTATATTTATTTACAAAATTTCAGGATATACTATATTATCAGTAAATTGCATATGACCATCGGATAAATAAACGTTATTGGTTAGAATTTTAATATTACTGGCATTAATTTAGCTAGCTTGACCCAAATTTGTGCTACAGTGAAAACCAAGCCCTAGTACTGTATCCATGGATATGCGCAAGTCCAAATAGCTTGACCCAAATTTTTGCTACAGTGAAAACCAAGCCATAGTACAGTACAGTACAGTACTGTACAGTACTGTACAGTACTGTACAGTGTACAGTGTAATGTACTGTACACTCACTGTACTGTACAGTACAGAACAGTGTGTATCAAAGTATTTTGTCACTTTGAAAAGCATCAACCAGTGATCTTAATAAGTAAATACTGATTAAGAGTTGTTACATTCCATAGCATTTATCATTCTATTATAGCTTTTACTGTATTTTTAAAGAAAAATATTACCCGAAAGCGACAAAATGCTATGATACACACTGTACTGTACCGTACTGTACTGTACTGTATGGTAGGACTACAGTGTACAGTGTACAGTACAGAGATGTTCTGTACTTGGCGGTGTGCACGTGACCTCTGCAATGTTCAAATTCAAACTTTGGCGGCATTGGTTATTGGTTAATCAAGCAAGTCAATTGTACCGTATACTCACCATTCTCCTATGTCGTATTCAGTACGTAATTGTCGATACTGTCGCTAGGTATAAGTCGATCATCTCCATCCTGCCTTCTCAGGCCTGTGATTGGCCTGAAAATATCATTCCTGTCAACAGTCGTTAAGCGTCGCGAGTTTTTTTATCGTAACGCCTCCCAACTCCAACTGCTACTATCGCTGCCAAATTGAAATCATCTTCTAGTTTATGTTAGGAGTGAAAATGAACATTTGAAAATTAGCGATTGAAAGCGATTGCTACAACGAGGCACTCGATGCTATTGGCAGCTCTGTGTTCCAGTCCAGCAACGACTATTTTCTATTCATCGATGAACATCGATTGACCACCAAGAGAAAAGTGAGAACACGTAGATACATTCGTTGATTTGTCAATAAGCCTTTGTAATTTATTGGATACCACAGTAAGATCGTTGATCATTTATTCTTGTGCCATTGATCGTCATTTAGGTTCATCTTATTGATTCTGATGTTGATATAGCCTAGTTACAATAATCAAAATATAAAAGCATGTACTCTAAGAATGGCATGATTGTCATCATCGTTATCGTCTTCGCTGCCATGGCTACACAAGGATATGGTAAGTAGCTGCTGCATAGTATCGCAAGCGATGTGGATGACTGTGCAGCTGAGGAGTAGGATGGAGGTCAAAAATTGTCAGCATTAGTCTTCTATCTAGACTGGATAATCAACTTGATCGAAAGACTGCATTCTTGCAATTCTTAATGCTTTTCAATGCTTACAATGATGCTAGGTGACGAATTACAGTATTTTAATTCCAGCTACACTTCTAAAAGCTTTAATATGACTCATGCTACAACGACCATCGTCTATCATGGGGTCGCTCGGTATGATCTATTATCCATTTGGAGTTCTGTGAAGGTACTGCAGTACATATACAAAAGTGTCAAGTTGGAACTAATGTATATAGACTAAGCATAAATTTATCATCATGCTGCTCTAAAATGCAAGTGTATTTTATTGATAGATTAAAGTCAATTGCTCCGCTGACTGCAGATTTTATCAAATATATCCTACTCGACATTATTTGTCAAGCAATGATGACAAATTATTAGATCGAAAATATCTTATTTGGCTGTTAACTTTAAATTGGCATATAACACATATTTCACCCTATGATGCAACTTATGTTCACGTACGAATTTCTGGACCGATGAGCAAATTTACGTTACTACTTGAACATCAAGGTAAACATAAATGAAACCCGTGATCAGGGCTTCGGTCAGAATATCTTGTATAACCTCACGGTCAAAAATAATAACCATTTGTTTATTTTGTGGATAGTGTTCAATTGGCTTTTATTCCTGACGTTTACAGCTGGACTACTTTTCTATTTCACAGCCACCACGTTATCAAGGTTTAGGAGCAAAACGCATTGTTTTAATGAATCACTTTCTCAGTTATAAGCACTTTACAATATTGACATATGAATACTAAACCTAAAATATTATGTTAGGAGTCGCTTGGTATTCTATGGTATTAGCATAGCAATTGGAATTAGTATCGGCTCGGTTTTGGCATTCGCGATTTCATTCCATTATTGCAGTAAACTTTTACCTCAGGTATCGTGTTGCTCACCCTTTTTAAATTCGATAACATTATCGAACAGGATTGCTAAACCATAATTGTAATGATTTGACTTCTTGTAATTGTACTTTTATAGAAATCAGTTACCAATATTATTGCCATCGGTGGAATTTTAATTATGACATACTTTGTCGATTATCGCCCGTTCAATTATGCTTCTTTCTTAATAGCCAATAAAGAAGCTATTGCAATATATGTCGTTATATCTGGTGGTTTAACTTTTTGTTTGTGCCATACGTACGAACCGGGACCAGAAGATCCCAAGGTAATTATTTTGCATTAATAGACACACTTATTCGATCATTATCAACGTCTAATTTTCTGCCTGAAATTAAATGTAGAGAAAGGTAATACAGTGGATTATTCAAGCTATCGCTATCCTTCTAATGTACTATGGGTTGCAACTGCAAGAGATATCTTTTCTAGTTATAATTGTATGCTGGATATGGAGTTGGCAGTATCATGCAACCAAAGCCACTGCTGTAGTAAAAGCCACCTTTAAAAAATTTAGGTTAGTTATAAATGGTGACATTGAAATAATTGTAAACTGTATAGTAATCATTCGTATTACACCCACGATTAGGAAAAGGTATGCATTACGTGCTACCGTTAATACACCCCATCGATTTTTAACACAAGAAGAGTTTGTAACTGAGGGTAAGGTAGAAACTGAGAAGGCGCTACAACAACTACGTGACTACTGTACAAGCCCTGAATGTAATACTTGGGAAATAGTGAAAAAGTTGAAAGACCCCAAGAGGTATCTGAGACATTTCAATTTGGGATACTTTTCTAAACTTGTGCTTTATATTCTGAGGTTTGATGTATTTGATAGTATTAAAGGTTGGCTTTTAATAAGCAATACACATTTAGATGTCATCTATTAATTACGAAAATGTATTTCAATTTGGATAATAGGTTTGCTGAACTTCTTTACGGTAATGGTGATCTCGATGACCGAGAACTCTATAGATGGATGAATGACAGTATGTTTGATGTTGAATAATACAATAATTTCCGCAAAAGATTCAATTTAATATTTATTGGTTTACTTGGTTGAAATATAATTTTATTTGTTACTATAAAATTTTACAAAACGGGTACGGGTATGCTTGTGCAAACAATGATACTGAATGTAGTCAAATGCATCCAGTAGAAATTTTTAACAGTATGAGGAGGTGTTTTCTCACTTCATTTTTATCCTTATTAAATTTTAATGGCATTACTTGATAATGTTCTGTTTCTGAAATGCAGTCTAGCGTCTTGTCTCAATAATAGTTCTGACTATGACCTGATTGCATTTCAAGCAACAGCGACATACCGGTTGCTAGTTTCTTTAAGGACAAAACTAACTATAAATCACTCTTAACGATCTCACGGATGTGCTATATCATAAAATCATATAGCAATACGGATAATACTAGTCCTATACAGAATTGTTGCTGTTACCTGAACAATACTAAATTTGATAATCAGATTTCTCACTACATGTTAAATCGCTTCATCAAAAGTTACAGTATTTTAAATTTGGGTAATCAATGTAAACCAAACTCAGGAAAGGATACTTCTACGAACTTGTAAAATACCGGAGGATAAATGCTAGTAATAGCAAGTACTTTCAAAGTACATGTATTGACTTATCTAGCAAAGTGCCCTATGCTATACTATATTATCAGTACAATTTTAAAATCTAAATCTACTATCAGTTTCGATGATCTAGTGAGATGCATCTTCTTTTTACCCTTTCAAAAATTGTTTATTATATAATTATTACCACTGGCAATTCTGCTTTCTCGCCTATACCTGTCCTTTATTCTTTCATTTATCTGTTATATGTAGCTAAGAGAGGACAAAAATGATGCGAATAGCACTTAAAAGACTACTATCAGCCACAAAAGCTGAATGTAATAAAAAATTCTAATTAACTGTATTATGTTATGGTCATAGCATTTATTATGCCGTATGTAAGACTGAATAACAAATTAAGAATAATAAATTGATATGTTAATCATCAGTCATTTTCATTACTATATAAATGACTGCAGTATTTTGTAAACTGATGAAGTCTGATACGATATAAACACCTAATGCTTATAGCTATTAAATTCTGTTATCTAGCTTACACTTTGAGTTAATGTTATGGATCTAACCCAACGGAATACCTTCGCTTTCTATTTATTACCAAGGCAATGTCCTAGTATGATCGTGTTAAGAGGGGCAAAATTACTCCGCCACTATCTCGCAATAATAAGCTACTTGTCAGTTATATTCTTACGGTAAGGAAAAATAAAGGCAACTGTAAACCTAGAGATGTTTACGTCCTTGCAAAGAGGATGCGTTCTCTTTTAATCCATAGGATCACAATCAGCTAACATACATTTGCGCAACATTGTCGTAGTTTAAATGGATCAAACCTTGCATATATTGGCTTAAAAATGTAACTGGTATCATCTCACTTTACGCAAGTCTTAAGCCTTATTACCAATTCCGTGCATTTGCTATAAGGAATGTAGAACAATTGAATACAATTCCATTGCCGTTCATGTTAATGGTAATTGTTTTCTGCAATATAATTTGATGAAGCTAATTGAGATCATTAACGTCAATTTGATTATTATTATAATTAGTCTTGTAAGGCCAATTCACTTGGTTCTCACTGTAGTTTGCAAATACAATTTACCCGTGGTAAGACAGATATACAGTATTTAATTGACATAAATAAGGCAAACTACATCATAGCTCCGTTGTACAGGAGCTGCATCCGATGTAGTATAAATGGTGATCCTCTGTAGTACAGGTAAAGCTGTGTAAAGAAAGATTTAAATGGCTTTGATACCGTAGTTAGTTATTTTAGCTTCCGAATCTATGGGTCGGCTCGTGACTCTCATTAGGGCAATAACTATGGTATAATAATTAAGTTACGAACGTTAAATCTCTTGAGCTACTCGGTAGAAGGAATGTGCAGTATTCCGCATATTTAGGTCTCTTAAGCTCAAATTTAACTTCAAACTAGCACTGTATAGAATACAATCTAGGATAAGCACACTTTTATTTTATTTCATAGACCTATGCAAAAGCTACTAAACGTTCTATATTATACGGACTAACGGACTACTGTATATCAAATGAATCTTCCTTACTAGTAGGAGATTCTCAGTTTTATATAGTTGACCGATTCTGAACTACAATATGCGTATGTTGTAACTGCCGTCAAATTATGTTTGCTAATTACTGTACTTGACTACAATAACTGAAAGAAGAGTATGATAGCATTCAGTTTGTTGCATAATTATAGCCTTGTCTATCATAGTGTCTGTAAGTAATTCGGTAGAGATAAAAACACAAGTTTCATATACTGTACTAATCAGTGCGCTGAACTGAAGCTGATTACTGTAAAATGGATTTGCTATTATCATTATGAAATACGTACCACAACTGCATCACTTACACGTAAAGAACGGAAGTAAATGGTAGAAAAAGTAATAAAATCAAAATAACAACAACGTGCGGTTTACAAAATACTTTACTTCTAGCTTAGTATTGCATTTTTTAATTGCCTCTTTGTTAAGAGCATACCCAGATTCACTAGTTCATATTAGAGGCATTTAAAACACTAATTTGGCAATGAACTTATTTTATCATTAACTAGTTAAGGAAATTACTATTGCTTCAATTATTATCCAGAAGCTCTAAAATTTAGCCATCTCCTCAGGTTCTTCATAAGTTTGATTAATGTGTTGATTTCCTCCTGATGAGCTCATAGTCATTTGACCTGATTCTTCTATGTTAATAACGATCAAAAAATGTAAATTATGGATATTAATATGTTAAAATTCATTATCAGTTTTTAGCCAACCATCAATATGTGTACAGGTAATAGCTAAAATTATACAGTTCAAGTAGTAAATTTTATAAACCAAAATACCTCTATAAATAGGATCTCGACTCTTGGATTGTGAAGTCTTAGCACGTTTGTTATCGGAACTAATATTATTTCCCCTAGTTAATAATATTGAACGGTAAAATATAATTAGAAAATATCCGTAATTTTAGTTAGATTTTATGAGTTACTAAAGAACCGGTCACAATGTCGTCAAGTTCGAATGTGATTTTTTTACCTCTTGCGCATAAAAAAGTAAGCTACCAAGAGGAGAATCAAGAGGGCGCCGGCAGAGCCAGCAGCAATGCCAATAATAGATGGAGCTATAAGTGCATAAATTAACCTTAAATTATTGCCATACAAATTTAAGGTCAAGGTCCTTTTACGAAATCAACTTAGTTTTAAGTACATCTGCCATAATGAAGATGAAGCTGTTAAAAGAGGACTCTGAATGAATGAATGGCTACTTACTATTTAAACCTATGACTGCACTTTGACAATTATTCCCTTGAAAGCCTCCTGAACAACTACAGATATATAATATAATAGAATTTTTTAGGTTTTATTCGTACTTAAACCACTGTGGGTCTGTTAAGAAATATAGAACTTGTAATCAGTTTGATGCTTTTTATAATTGTATTAAACAAAAAAATCGATGATTTAATTTAGCTTTGAAAACAATATTTTGGCAAACCTGCATGTTGGTCTATTATTCTGCATGGTACACTGTCCATTATTAACGCAAAAGCTGGGAGAGCAAGAGAAATCTGGAAAAAATATCAAATGCAAACCTTAGTGTTTTACTTAAAGTACATATGTAATGGTACAATACTTTAGGGTTCAGATTCAGAATCGCATAATACATGCATATCAGCACTAACTTCCTAACTTTAACATACAAAATCTATCATATATTATACGATACTATATTTCTATTTGAATCTAATTTGAGAGCTAGATCAAAATAAGTTGCTGATTTTAGCAGTCATTTTCTACCACTTACCAATATTCAAGGCCGCGCTTAAAGTAAACGTAGTATTATCAGGTTTACGAACTACGCATTGGTATTGCCCGTTGTCATTGAATGTTAAAGGTCTAAAGTTTAATATAGATTTAACGATGGCACTAGTATTAGAGCTGATCTCGATAATATTTGTGTTATTTCCAGGAGTCATAGGGATCCCATTTTTCGTCCAGGTAAAGATTGGCTTGGGGCGTGCGGTAGCTTGACATTCTAGCCTGGCGTACAAGCCAACAGTATATAATGAAGTATTGGAAATTACTTGAACATTTTGCAAAGGCACACCTAAGATTAGCAAAGAGACGATATCTTACAATGTAGTACTGAATGCTGTTTTTTACGAAAGACACACACACGTAATACTTGATACCCAGAATTTAATTAACGTATACATATATCGACATAATCTAATTAGAGAATGTAATTTAAGAGCCAGTTAAAAATAAAAATGTTATCTTTACTTTGTAACCAATTTTCGCAGCGATTTCCTGCATACCCAGTGACACAACTAACAAATAGAACAAAAGATAGGTAATATTCTAAAAGTATTCAGTTTTATATTAAACCCTATTAACTGAATTTGAGCTCCAATCAACTCACCTACAAACAGGCGTAATTCCAATCATGAAACAATTTCCTCCATTTAAGCAAGTTCTAGGTAAACAAGCAAGTTCTACAATATAACAACAATAAACAAGCTTAATATGTAGCTAGGAATAGATAAATGTAAATTTCTGTTTCTGCTACAGTAGTTACTTAAATACGCGTTTAACCTTTGATATATATATATATATATAAGTTCTTCAAAACCAAACTGATCTAGGTAAACATAAAATCTATGAGGAATAAGCAGTTATTTAATACTACAGTACTCTCTCACGCAGATGATAAATTTTAACTATTCTAGTAAGCGCGCGATAACATCAAAGTAATGATAGAGCATATTAAGCTAACGGAACCTTGGCGCCAGAATAGTCGAATCATCAAGCTAAGTATACAATAGACTGTTACTGTATGCTACTGAATCACTAATAAACCACTAAAGATTATAATATTGATAAACTTGTATATAGCTTATTATTGTGCCGTATATTAAATAACTATTTAATAAACTCGTTTTGCCTCTGTGTTTGATTAAATATAAAAGTAATTTCTGCTGATCAAAGCTTAATTACATTCTTGAACCTTACTTATTGTAACTGAAGAAGACGTTAGGTTTCTATCGTTCGCTGTATCAATGGCGATGCACCGATATTTTCCGTTGTTAGCTGATGATAAACGAGTAATTACTAATACCGATTTCGTTATGGAATCAGACGTAGTGTTGACTATCATGATCTTCATGTTACTTCCATCTTGAATGATAGTGTTATTTATTGTCCAGGTGAGGGTAGATAAAGGACGTGAGTGAGCTTGGCATTCCATGCCCACAGTTGCATCAACATTGTATGTTGAAAGATTAGATTTGATTTAAATGTTATCTAATGGAATATCTTGATAATAAAAAGTTATTATAGATAAATTAGACGAAAATATCAATATAAATTCCGCAATAAATTTACAAGTGAGTATTTCCATTTAAGATTTCTTTCGCACAAAGCCATATAACAAATTTGCAGGAACTACTGTCCGTATGATATATTTTAGTTGTGTCAGTAAGTTTTACTAGAGCTGAATATATTTGGTATTAAATACTATTTTTTAAGCTATACTGGTATCAATTTTTTCTAAATATTACTTTTAACACCATGAATATCAGTATACGTATACTCAGATTCTTACTTGGGATATAAGATGATTCGCATTGCTGTCCGGTATAAGGAACATTGCAACTATTAGAATGATAGCAAGAACGCGATTTCAATGTTTAAATTTACTATCACAATTACTTTAAAATGTCCTTCATGTGCATTCGATTAAGTCTATTACTTTTGATACATTTATTCACTATAATGCCGGCGTTTACTGCGAATATTATTTTCAGTTTAAAGTTATAAGCAGAAATAACTGTACACTTCCGATAACTATTTCTAGCAAATATTAATTTACCTGCAAACTGGTGCATTATTAGACTGATTGCATTGTCCTCGGTTGTTACAAATTTCAGGATAGCAGCTAATTTCTATAAGCGCATAAAAGAAATTGTAAATAACGGATTTAGAGCGAAAATCCTCCTGATTTACATGTCTCATGTGTTGCCAAATCACTTTGGTATACGGCGATTTCTAATATCTCAGATATTTCAAAATAATGCGTTAATATAGTATTTGCTCGGTAAGTTCAACCATAGTAACGTCTGATAGCATTGGCCCATACTGCTCATATGTGTAAATATCCTATTACCTATAGCAACTTCTTTAGTTTTCATTGTTATATTATGCAATTGGCCGAATGCATTATATTGATAATTAGCTTCGCATCGATAAATACCAATATCAGTTACTTTCAAACCATTAATAACTAAAACAGACTTTTGCTCATAGTATGCAGAATAACCAATCCTTTTCATAGTGGTATAATGTTCTCCGATAGATAGAGGAATATTATTTTTAGTCCAGGTTATAAATGGTGAAGGATATGATGTAGTTTGACACTCTAACCCAATTATTTGACCCAGTCGATAGATATCTGTTACATTAGATTGAATCGAAACTGCCCGAAGTGGAACATCTAAACATGTTGTCAAATCATAAGACGTTTTACATATGTTAATTACTGATAATTCAAGCAGGTTTCTTGACTTTACCATGACGGATAACAGTTTTGAACGTACATATTATCGATATACCACATGATTAATTAAAGATCTATTAAAATCAATTGAAAGATATTCATTCGCTACTTACATGGTTGCATGATTTCACAATGAGTTCCGATATAACCAATGTTACAATTGCTGTAAATAGGTGAATAATTGATATTACAACGATGATTGTAAAATTTTCGAAATCTATTATTAATGTTTCCACAGTCTTATCAATCATTTCAAAAATATTGACTCTTGAAGCATTATGTACATTGCTTTTTCATGTTTCTCCTCAAAATTTAATCATAATTTTACTGGACGTCTACAAACGATTTAAGATGAAGTAAGTGTAACATTACTTCTGCCTGTTCTTATAAGTTCGCTTAGCTATTTTTATTAAAGCAAAATTTTTAAATTTACAATTAATATCTTAAATTAGAAGCTAGATATAATCTTTGTTCATAATACGATCCCGTAGAACAAGATTCTAAAGCTGATCTGCTAACAAACTATTAGATATATTTATTATAGATCATACAAGAGTATTAACTTTTCCAAACAGATCCACTGCACCAAGTATCACTTTAGATTATTAACTTAGTACGCCTAGAAATTTTATTATTTATTGATTGATAACCTGCAGATGGCCGTATCATTTACCATTGTACACTGGCCGTGATCGGAACAATACTTTGAAGAACAGTTGAATCCTATTACAGAAAGTATTATCGAATATATATGATTATGATTTGTAGATAGCTATACCGATTAAAATTCTGTGTATTTGAATAGTTTACTCTTTTAATACAGCAACAAAAAACAAAATTACTTATTCTAACACTTTGTTGCTGAAAAAATGAACAATGGCTTTCAACTTACTGATTGTTTGTGAATTGCTTGTGACTAGTTGACTATTGGCCATATTGGTTGCTTGGCAAGTATAGACGCCTTTATACGAGGGTATTGCATACCGTATGAAATACGTTGATTTAGTCACTAAGTTATTAGAGGAGTTGCCTTTAGTCATGTTTGGGTTTGCATAAACATAGATAGGTCTTCCATTTTTAAGCCAGCTTATAGTTGGTCGGGGTCGACCATAGGCAGAACATTCTAGCGTTATCATTTGTCCGATTGTTACTAAATTAACACTAGCTTCTAGTGTAACAGCCGAAGGTGGTATTTCTAATTTCAGTAAAAAAAAATAATAATAATTCTTAATAAAACTATTTCATGAAATAGGCGAAATAGAAAACAATAAAAAAACCCTAAATATGCCGTTTAATTTTTAAGCTAGCATTAATGTGCTCAAAGCTATCGATTATTTCATTCAGTATGTCATTTTTATGTGAAAGCCGTTGTAGCTGATATTTGTTTAAATCATACATAATGCTGTCTATTATTTTATTGCCCTTTCAATTTTTAATCCCTTAATCATATTACTATAGATATATTTACGGTAGTAAATATTAAAACTGATTTACAATCTGTTATAATACACGTCTATAATCACGCAGATACACGATGAGTGAATAAAATTTGCGTATATGTAAAACTTTGAACCATTTATATCCATCTATTACTAAGAATCGAAAAAGTGAAATCTTTTTGTTAATTTATACTATCTTTTGAATGATCAATTTCAAGATATATGATAATTAAGATATACATTAACTATTTTTACTGCTAATTGATATATAATACTTTTATTTCGTCTAGTTACGATATTCGGTCAATTTTATGCTTAGTAACATACTTCAATAAGTTTTTTCTTTGATAATTTGATAATCTACATACCGGTGATACATTTTTGGCCATTCCAATAACCACTACTACAGATACAGGTATAACCTACCGATGGCTGCATGACGTTAGCACAAGTAGTATTAGATTGAATGCATGGAGAACTAGCACAAGGAGAAATTGCTGTACAAGTATTAACCAAAAAAGAAGATTTAGTTAATCTTCAGTTATATTGATTTTTTGGTAAGATCAGATTGCTAAATTAAGGGCAAAAGATTGCTGAGTATGTAATAACTAAAGATGGTTTAATAACATCGATCTACAAGTATTTTACTCTCACCTGTTTGACATGTGTAACTATAGTTTTTCAAATTTAAATGCAATAAGAAAACAAATATTCATTAGTTCGCATAATAGATATTAACAAGTCTCAGTTCTTCTATTTTATCTATCTACAAGATTTATTGATAAATTATGTAATTATTATTTCTAATAAAATATGATAAATAAATAAATGAAATCTCAATTCAAGTGTACTTCTTACTTTGGTGGCAACTGTTTTGCATTTCGAAGGCTAGAATCTAAAGGCTCATCTGTATAATTTTGGAGTATTAACAATGAATTACAAACATTCTAAAAATATCCTGAGTAAATCTAAGTCCAATAATATCTTACCAACGCATGATACATCAGAATGTATATTTATTGTATTTGGCCTGCATTTAGATCCTTGGTTTAATAATTCATTACTTTGTCCACAGTGGTTTAAGTTTGGCTCGTTACCAGTACAGTTAAAACTTCCAACAGCAATCCTAACGTTTTCATTTTGTATAAATCTCCACGGTCCCCATGATAACTGCATATTGGCAAAACCAAGTTGACGGCAGGCAACCTGAGCAGCACTATACTTCCATTGACTAGAACAAGTTGTTCCCCAAGCCTTATCTTTATAGACTTCCATTAACCCTTGATTGTACTTTACGCCGTCAGTTACACGAATTCCAATAACTTCAGAATCTGTATATACCATTATTTGGTAAAGTAGAAATTTATCATTACGATTGTATAGTTCTATCCAATGTTCATACATTACTTGGTTTTATGCTTCAAAATACTTTTTTCTCTAGCAGTAAATAAAAAATCCAAGGTAATAATGCCATAACCATATTTGCTCAAACTATTAGAAGCCATAACTTACAAAATAAACAGTTATAGCCACTGTAACCTTTCGGACATTCACAAGAGTAATAATTTTTATCGAGATGATCCACACATATTGCTCTACCACTCGCCTGCGATGCACATGGATTGCTAGAACATGGAGTATAATCTAAAAGATGTTCATGAACAATTCGAATCGCATTTGATCAGTAACACAAAATGGCTTAGACAGGCTATAATCACAGTAGTTAATAAAGACTGTACTAACATATTGCACAGTCTTTGCCAGTGTATAATGGATCGCAGACACAATTATAAGTCGTCTCATTGCTGGAATGGCAGGTACCATGTCCGCTACATGGATTCTTGGTACTATCGCAGTAGGAATCTGTATTAATTTATAATGGATGGAATGTATTACTTGCAATAGATGTAAACATGTTGCATATATTTGTATTATCCTGCTTAAACGATTTGCTTAACTTCTAGTATTTAAATCCTTTCAATTCATCAAGTACGAAATCTTCAATTAGCTTATTTAACTATACCGCATCATATTTTAGTTAACTTAGTTCATAATTGTAACATTATAGTTTCAGTTATTATCAGTAGAAATGTTACTTTTACACAATTTCTGTATACAGAGACCAAAATAGAAACATACTTGTGCATTCTATAACTAGAGCTTTATTATACGAATTGCAGCGGCTAGGGTTGGGCAACGAGCGAGGACATTCAATAGGCGAGTTTTCAGTACCATTACATTTCAGATTACTAAACAATATTTTTCCAGTATTGCGATCATGGTTATAACTGAGTTGACGTACAAATTTCCCTTTTTTGACTGCTCGACAAATTACTTCACCGGAATTAGCAGTAAATCCATCAGAACATATACTGCCCCATTCCCCATTAATAAATACTTGTACAAGCCCCGTATCAGAACTATAATACTGACTATTGAAGCGAACAGCGCCATTCGCTACTGGTCCAATTTGGCAATTACTACCATAATAATCAGGAGGACATTCGCAGGTATATCCAGTTTCATTATAACCACTCATTTCTATACATGTAGCATTGTTAGGACACACACCAGCTGTGCAAGGGCTACCATAACATGCAACGCTAACAGAATTTTGCCTGCTACAATATTGCGAGCCACCCCACGGATTACGTTGGCAGTTAGACAAACTAATTTCATCTCCTCTGCAAGTAATATTACTCAGTAATATGCTTTGTGGATATCCATAACGAGAGCAACACCAATTAGATGAAAAACCTTTAAATCCCAACTGTTTACAAGCCACTTGACCCACTTCTTTGGTAAAACGATAATCACAGATGCCTCCCCATGTGCCGTTATACAACACTTCCAAGCGACCAGTATAACGATTAGGTCCTCCAACTATTCTAGCTGGTTCGGCAACTAATGCTATAGATCAAAAAATGGTTTTATGGCCTTAGAATAGATGACTTTGTTACATTTTATTTATACAATAATATAATGTAAGCTTTGATAGATGATTATAAAATTAAATGCTAGGATAAATGTAGTTAGATAGCGTCAGAGTGATGGTTAAATGGCGTTATTTTAACACTATTTCTATGTTTATTACCTGTCTCGCAATTTCTTCCTGTATAGCTTGGATGACAGGTACATCGATAAAACGGTTTAGATTTCAGTCGTTCACATACACCGCTAATACAAGGTGAGCTTTCGCAAGCGTTGCCTACATTAAGAAATGGAATCATTTATATAAGAATTATCACTATGATATAAATTAGATTATACTTTATTCTAATTAAGTTAAGAAAGATTCTAGTACCCAACTCTTTTCCATCTGTAAGCTCACCTGAACAATCGATACCTATCAGATCATTGTAATCACACTGACCAGGAATATGGCGATTAAGATTACATTTTGTTATAGAATCTTCATTTCCAGTTTTACATGTTACACCACCTTAGAGAAAACAAAATCATCAATGAAACACTTACGAAAAAAGTTTTATTAAATTTTAACTGTACTAGACCCAAACTGCAGATACGGAAGCTAATGTTTACTTGGAAGAAATGAAGGCATGTAGGTCGTGACCTAAAAAGGAATTGATTGACAAATTACCGTACTTTGGCAAATGCGACTCACCATAAATTATTTTTCCCGGGACTGGACCAAAATATGAGCTTTTGTAATACGCAGTAGCATAAGGGAAATTTAATTGCCTACATATAACGCTAGCAGCTTGTATATTAAATGTAGTCTCATCACATATAGAGCCCCAAGTTCCATTCTGATATATTTGGACAGTTCCTTGTCTAACGTTATTGTCACCTATTCTAGATGATAGTCTAACATCTCCATTCATCACTCCTATAATTAGTGAGAGTTTCAAAAACAGTCATTTTTCACTTTGCTTTGGCTATAATAAATCTGTATTATATAACTTATAAATAATTTACTCGTATATAGCAAAATTTGTACTAAGTTTTATTAATAGTTGCATTACTATCATTTACAAATATTAGATAGTATAAAAAAAGTGTTTGTGATATTTGAATTATAGCTTAGCTTATTTATCACAATGCATATCGAAATAAAATTATTGTACACCGCAATTTCAACTATAATGATACCCAAAACATTTACCATCATATTAATAATATATTTGCATAGATGAATAGATATTATAATTTAGTTTCCTACTTTCTGAACAATTCTGTCCGTGGAATCCATCAGGACAGTAACAACTATAGCCATAAGGTAGATCTTGACAAGTTGCATTGCTTCCACATGGATTCATGCTACACAATAATTCTGTAATGATTGTAAACAGTCAACGAATAAACTTCTCTATTTTGTTAAGTTATGGAGAATCTCATTGTAATGAAACGAAGTACTAGTTGTTTTGAATCGCTACAAAATAATGCAACATTATTAAAGTAAAGCATCAATTAACTTACTGCTTTGGCTTTGCTTTCCTGTAAAATTAGGTGGGCATCGGCAATTATATTTATAAGTTCCCGGACCATTATTACTGCCTATACAAGTACCGCCGTTGCTACATGGATTGCTGTAGCACGCATTGTCTAAAACAATATCATTCAAATTATGAACATATTATTATTCCTGCACTTACTACAAGGTAAAATTATAAAGCTATAATATGCTCCTCTTAATTGGAGCTTAGGGAAATTGTAGAAATGTGATAATTTGTTTAGACTATGCTTACTACTCAGTACTGGAAATGTTTGTAAAGTAAAACGCTGATTCTTCTAGGATGGAATACTAAAAATTATTACTTGCCCCGGCAGTTGATGCCTGCGACATTATTATAGTTGCACGTCGAATCAATGGATAAGCAATTACAATCAATAAGTCTTGATTCATCGCCTTTGCAGTTTAGCCCGTGAAGCCAAAATGTTCCACTATGAAACCCGAAATTAGAACAGCAAAAATAATCTTGCATTCCAATAAATCCTAGTTGTTTACAAGCAACTTCGGCCGCCTTCTTTGTAAATCCTATATCACAAACGGCTCCCCAACTATTACTGTGGTATATTTCTAAGTTTCCAGAGCTGGTAGTTCCGTTTTTAAGGCGTAAGGTTCCTTCAGCAACTATAAAGTTTTAATGATTGTATTATTAGTGGCGCCTAAGTCAGTTATTACTGTTACAAAAACGATTAAATCGACAAAGAGCAAAGGCTCTCACTGGATTCGCAGTTTCTTCCAGTAAACCCATTTAGACATCTGCAATAGTAGTCTAATCCATCGGCAAGGCAAGTTCCATTGTTTGCACAAGGATATGGTACACAGGGATGCGCTATAACAAATTTGAAATGCAGGCAAATATACTCGAATTAGATTTAGTACAGTTTTACAGTACTTTACTGCTAAATATAGATAGTACTCCAATTTTCGTTTAACTTATCAGAGAATTTGGCCAGTAGGAATTAAAAAAGAATTTTCTTTCATTATCATGATTAAACTTACTGCTGCATATTACACCAAGATCGTTTCCGTGATTGCATTCTGACGACATATTAGTTACATTCTGGAAAAGGCAACTCGTCGTACTGGGCGCATTAACCGAGCAATTTGACGATAGTATCCCCAAAGAAGCTTTTCCAGTACCAAAATAAGCGTTATAAACGGTTTCAGTATAGCTGTATTTATATTGATAGCAAACCGCTCTTCCAATATCGCCAATAGATGCTGAGCCACATATTGTGTTCCATTGATTACCGCGGTAAATTTCAATCCGACCTTCTGTAATCGTTTTACCATTTCGAAGTCTGATATCTCCTTCAAATGGCGGTCCTAGAATGTTTCATGAAAAGTATTTTAACGTCATATTTGATTATTTTAATCTAACAGCTTGACAATATATTCGTATGTATTTTACTTACTATTTTATCTTTTACATTACTGTGATGTAAATTATTGATTGGATGTTGAATTCTACTAATCTACTAGTCAAGTCTTGCAATTACGTAATCAGAACTTACCAAGATAAGTTTCACAGCGTAAACCAGTGAAATACTCATGGCAATCACATTTGAATCCGTAGGCCATATTGCGACATACTCCTAAATTACAACTTATCCCATGACATGGATTATACACTATAGCGAGTACAAGCGAAAAATAATTGATAGTCAATACATAATACAATTAAGTAATACGTATAATCTAATTTCCCGATATTTACGGTACCATTAACTAATTATTAATTCTCTAATTTGCAGTTTATCTGATATTTAACAGTAGATGGGCTCAGATACTATTCAGGTTACAGTAAAAATAGCGGTAGAAGTCTTTGTTTTCGTAACTAATTTTGACTTTGGAAAAAAAGACATTTGTTCTACGATAATGCTTACATGAAGCACAGCTTACTCCAATAGCGTTCTCTTTTTGGCATACTCCAGTTGTGGTAATATTATCTAGAGAGTATTGGCATTGGGAAATCGAAAATTCATAGCCAGTGCAGCGAAGATTTCTAATCATTCTACCAGTTAGACTTTCTCCGTAGCGGTTACTATATATAAGACTTTTACCATAACGTAGCTGCTGGCAAACAACATTAGCTGCAGATGTAGTAAAGTTATCATTACAGATACTATACCAATTTCCGTGCAAATATACTCTAACACGGCCTGTACTGTCCGGAGAAGTGACTGATGGCCTAACTAAATCTATGTCGCCATGCTTAGCAGGTCCTAAATTGAAGGAGTTCATATAGATAAGTATTGAGTAATTTACATATAATCTTGATTGAAATTATTCGATTTATAATAAGAAATTTAATCACTGAATTTTCTAGCATAGCAAAATTATAATATCATAGTGTAATGATTGAAGTAAAGGTACACAACGATTTTTAAGTGCATATTGCCAATGCATAGGAGTATAAGAAAGTACTTTAACTTTTCTCATGTTACCTTTTTCACAACTGCTGCCAAAATAAGCCTGCTGACATTGGCACTCATAGTAGCTAAGGATAACACCCGCGAAGGTCGGATGTGCGCGAAACTTATTAGTACAGGTACCACCGTGCAGGCATGGATTGCTATCGCAAACTGATTGATATTGGCAACGATTTCCGTAATAACCTGGCGGACATATGCAATACTGATGATACGATGTAACATCATCTGCAATGGATGTGTTGTAAGTACATGTTCCTCGATCACAATAGCCCGGAGGGCAAAGTTGACCTAGAACGCAACGAATGGATTCAAAAACAAATCAAAATTATACGAAGATCGAAGGATTTTATATTTTCATATCCGACGCAATAAGATAAAATCTAATCAAAATTTAAGTAGCATATGAACGACTAAGTTGTAATAGAATTTTAGCGATGATTTTTGTCTATTGTGGCTCATAACCTTTAAACCTTCAACTTACGTGTGCAATAAAGGCGAATGTTACCATCGCATAAATTTGCGTCTGTTTCGTATGTAAGTTTGCATTGCGTTATTTTTTTCTCTTTATCGGTACATTGTGCTTTTGTAACCCAAATTTTGTTATGAGTGCTCATGTTTTTATGGCAACAACTACGAGATAAATAGTCTGTGAAGCCCATTTGTCGACATAAAATTCTGCCTTCTATTGCGGAAAAACCATTTAAACAAAATCCGCCCCAGATACCATTATGATAGAGTAAAGGAACACCATATGCCTTATTATAGGCGTAATCGACTTTATATGCCAGCTGAATACTGCCTTCCACTGGTGGAACTACATTCATAGAATATCATCAGTTGGTATTTATCTTAATTATTCATCATTTAAATCTTTCTGGAACTAAAGTGGTATAATTTATCATCGTCATATGAATTGCGATTAAGGTTATTCTAGTAAATTTACCATATACTGACTTAAATCAATATTAATTATAGTTCAATTTAATTACCATATTTTGTTTCACAGTATTGTCCGGTAAAGCCAGCTGGACATCGACATTGATAATTTGGAGAATTATACATTGGTATGCAATACTTGTTGTAAGATTTACAGTTACTGACTTGATTATCCCGACAATAGAAGTTACTCACTGTAAAGACATATGGTTCAACATATATTGCCGATATAAGTAAATATTAGGTAATATTATTAGTAGCAAAGCCCTACACGATTTAAATGATATAAAGCACTCGAATAAAGCTTAATGAACTCACAGGAGCATCTGATGTAAAAATCTTGCCCATGGTCTTGGCATTCGTTCGGAACACTATGCCAACCCGCACTATCACACTGATACAAATTTCTCGCATTTCCAGTACAGCTTACATTGCTTAACATTACTGGTCCTAGCATATCAGTAGATTGTCGAAAATCAAACGAGGAGTAGCTGGAGTACCCTAACATAATGCACATTTTTCCAGCTAGTTCGTATCGATTTTGAGCGTTGCATACAGTTCCCCAAGTGCCATTATAAAATACTTGTACGAAGCCTTCGTAGTCTTTAGTATCGTCATCAGAATCTAATCGGATATCTCCATCTTTCTGATAACCTGAAATAAGATAATGCATAAATAATTATCTCAATATCACAAAAGTAATTCCCAATTATTATTGATATTACTTATGAAATTTTAAAATAAACGCCAATTTTACTTTTTACGTTCTGCTCCTACAACTTCATCTAGCAATAAATTTAAGAATTGGCCCACGTTTTTACCTGTACATGTTATCTTCACGATTTTGTCTGAGCAACCTTTAGGATCTTTAATAGACTGATAAGGGCATTCAATAATAGATTTTTCATTACCTACACATCTCAGATTATATTTTGGAAGGCGGCTATAATACAAACTGCTGTTGTTGGTGTTATTACTGCCAGCACTAATTATACGTGAGCTAGCGAAGACGTAGCCCATTTGCCGGCATATTACTCGTAAATCTTTCTCTGTCACCGTATCGCTGCACACAGTAGCCCATTGATTATCTAGAAAAATTTCTGCTTTTCCATTTAATCGCGTAGAACCGTTTACAAGTGTCGCGAAACCGGGAGTTACTGAAGCTAAAGATGGAAGTTTCCATTATAGATTCATATTTAATCATAGCAGGGGACGCAAACATTAATTGATATTATTATGATTGATCTCATGTGCAGAAGAAGAGTATTTCATGATTAGCTCAGAGCGACTGTATTTTACGTATATACTCTACTGTACATAAACTAAATTCAAAACTAAGAATATTTAGACAAATACTGTAGTAATTGTGCTGGCAAATTTCGAAATTATCTTATCAATGGTAATAGAATGCCACTTAATTATTTACTACTTTATTAACTTACAAGTATTGAATTGGCACATAGTACCAGCATATTGATTGGTGCAGTTGCAACGATATCCGTAGAACATATTGATACATTTGCCATCGTTTTGGCAAGGATTAGATGCACAATTATCAGTTGCTGTTTATATAATCGCACCGAAGTCGAAAAATAATTCAAAATAGTTAGTAGTTGTGCGAAAATAGTTTATACTTTTAGATCAGTCATTCCATGTTAGGATACAAGCTATGATCATTTTTAACTCGAATCTACTACATTTTTATGTGTGTAAACTAAGAAATAGGTTCTATCGTCTTAATTACGCAGAATTACTTACTTGAACATTGAACTCCAACATACAGATCTCGGCAATAATTGTTAGAATCGAAGTTAAAATAGGGACATTCTGATAAAGATGTTTCATAGCCGGTACATTGTCCATTGCTTGCACCGTAAGAATATGAAGGATAGCCATATGATATACCATATGAAATTGCTAATGCACCGGCTAAGTTATTGCTTTGACAAATTACATGAGCAACAGCCATTGTCATTCCATCTCTGCAAAGAGCCCTCGAACCAAAACGTGAATAAAGTCGTACGCGTCCGTAAGTTCTGTATGAGGAGCCATCCATTAATGCTACAGAGCCTCTTCTATATGGTCCTTTCGTAATTAAATTACAACATTGATTTTGATTATATTAAATTCACATTAAACTAAATTATCATTAAACAGAAAGACTTCTATCTGCTTTGAAAAAGCCTTGGTGAAAATATTTTACCAGATTGACTACAGTTTACCTAAATCACAGCGTTTCCCTACGTACGGATAGCGACAAGCACACCTAAATTCAGTAACATTATGTACGGAGCAGGTTGCGCTGTCTTTGCAAGGATTAATAAAGCAAGGATCTCTATATTGGCAATTTTCACCAATGTAGCCAGGCATACATGAACAAGAATAGGAAATAATTGTAGGATTTGTACCATTCATTGACAATGTACAATTTCCGCCGTTCTGACAAGGATTCGGATTACAAGTTGCTCCTAACGGAAAATTTTCCAACTCAGTACAATTGAAGACAAGCAAGTACATTATTTACCGGGCATACCCATTCTATCAGGCATGAAACCACAACTTACGCGATAGTAGTTACAATTGCTAATAAAATTCAGCTTTAACAAATCTACAGAGAGTACTACGGTGATAAAATATGCTGAAATAATAGTTTAATTTACATTCGAATTTGCAGATTTAATTATAAAATGAAATATATATATGTCGTACCGTTATAACTCTTCAGCATTTATGATTTCGAATAGGATTATTTTTGTAAAGAATTCTTGCACTATCATTTAAACTGGCTATAAAATAGTATTAAAAATTAGTTTATCCATTTGACAACTGACGTTGACATTCCACTTTCATTGGCCTATTGCAATTATTTGTATTTGTACCATACATAAAAGAGCACTGGTTGATTGCTGATGCATCAGAACTGCAATGCATGTCTTTGACCCAAATTTTAGAATTATAAACAGAAGAACAGCAGGTAGAAGACTTTTTTCCAGCAGAAAAGCCTAGTTGCCTACAAGCCGCCATGGCCACGTTTTCGTCGTTACTATCACAGATTCCACCCCAATAACCTTTATAAAAGATTTCTAGTATCCCAGAAGAAGTTTTATTTGATGCGGGAGAGATAATAGTATAGTTCTGATTTCTTATACGTATGGCTCCGGAAGATGCTTCTGCGATAATAAAAGGATAAATGAATTATTGGTCTACATCATATGGAGAGTTAGTAGTATATGTGTTTAAATAACTTCTATTTCGTTTGTATTAAGTCATAAGCAATAAAACCGCGATTATGCGTAAGAATTTACAGAGTAAAACCATAACAATTGATTTATTTATTTATACGCAGTAGTGTGCAGACTATACCCATTACTTAATTCTAAGAGGGTGTATCAAAACATCTGAGTACATTAGTGAAATATAAAATCAATTCCTTAAATATTGCCAATAAGCCGCAGATTTATAGTTATCCAGCAATACAATCTAACTATAGTATGAAAGTGATCATTCCGCTTTGGTCAACAGCCTGGAATCTTGTACAATTTAAGGCTGCTATTATTATTTACCTATATATGTTTCACATTTTGTGCCAGTATAACCTTTCGGACAATAACATGAATATCCAGAACTTGCTGGTTGACACAATTTATTTGATATTGCACATTGACTTCTCTCGTAGCTAGAACAGCTTCCATAATCTGAACATTTAGAATAAAACCAATCATGAACATTATTAAGACACTCTTGACCAAATGTACAGACTTTATTTTACGCTATTTAAAGAGAGCATACCTCTATTTATGTACGCTTAAAACAATTCTAATAAGCATATGCTTATCTGAATTAAAAACGATATTAAATATCAATAAAATAATTCATAAGATGTAAATAATTCTGTGCGAAACATTAAAATTTTAATAATTGTTATACATTTGTATGCAGGCACAGAATTTTGTTATTATGTAACTTAATTTGATTCTGAAATGATATACTGCGATTGACCTATCGATAGGAAATATTTCTAGACACTTCTAGTTCAGTTTGGATAAATGACAATAACTTATCTCGCATTGTTTTTCAACATTATTCAATATTGAGGTTATGTTTTACCGATTGGATAAACTCGATTAAGGACTTCTTTGAAATGATGGCGGCGATTAAGATTGCCTAATTACTTGTGATTATTCACTCCTATATCTATTAATATTTGCACTAAAGACTATGACTAAACTAAATTAGCCATTAATTTTTTATCGAAATACTAAAAATACTGTGTTTTTTTAAAGACTGACAACTCAAAAGTATTTAGTTATTCGTACTTATACTTGCACGTTATAAATATTACTATGATGCCAATATTATTGTCATACATTCACATAAAAAAATATACAGTTGAAGGCTTTCTTTCGTAAATCTTAATAATTTTATCAAAAAGGTCTAAAAGATAGGTGCTTAACTTACTATAGCAGGACACGGCAAGTCGACGACTACAGTGGAATGGAGATTGACTTAACCTTCCGTAATTGCATTGAAACAATGAATGCTCGTTTCCTTGGCAATTTGGATAGCTCATGGTGAAATAGGTCGAATACCCATAGTAGGAATCAACATAACTGATATCTCTGTATCCAGTTAGATGACATATAACTCGTCCTACACTATAATAGTTGATAGAATCAACGCAAATATATCCCCAATAGCCGCTTTGGTATATTTGCGGAGTATTTCCATAAAGACGAATCGATCCATCTTCTCTATAATCTGCGAAAGAAAGCTTAGCACTTAATATTTTGTAAGGTCTTCAATTGATCAGTCTAATTATTTTTGGAAATCGATAAACGAAAGTCAAACATACTATAGGAACACGTAGGTCCTCGATAGTCTTGCTGACATCTGCACGTAAAGTTTCTGTTATCTCTAACACAGACTCCATATCTACTGCAAGGATTAGGGTCGCATGGATCATTATAGTCTACACAAAGTTATATATTGTTTTAAGAAATTTAGCAGTACCGCATACAAAACAAAGCTAGAATAAAGTTTTTATAGATATTGTATGAAACAAAATAAAGTGAAAATATAAGTCCCTATCCGGACTTGTGTGTTAGTAGCAAATTACATACCTTCTTCACAGTTAACACCAGTGAAATTTAAACTACAGGAGCATCGGTAAGAATAAGTAGGAGCAATTTCAATACAATTACCACCATTTAAGCAAGGATTAGAAGAACATCCTAGTCCTGTTCATGATTGCATAAACGATTAAGATTAATACGTAAAGGAAGCTACCCACAAAATTAATAATTTTCTCAATAATTTCCCACATACTATATTCGCAATTTTTTCCAGTAAACGGGTACTTGCAATGGCAATGATAGTTCTGATTATTATAACTATTATGACATATTCCATTATTTTGGCAGGTATTTGGGGTACAGGCTGGTTGAACTGCAAGTAAAGAATGGTAAAATTACTAAATTTGTTATAGAATCGAAGTAGACCAAGTAATTGTGAATATTGATAAATTTCTCATTTAAAGCAATTATTGTCCCACTTAAGCCTTACAGTTTTGTTCGCAAAATCTTCCGGTCGATCCGGATGGGCAAGTACAGTAGGTAGTGGCATAAGAATAATATTGATTGCAAACGCCGCTATTTTCGCAAGTCCTTGCTGTACAACTGCTTGGACAAGCTTGAGCTGCAAACGTAGTACGCAAATTTTATATACAATATCGAATTTGAAAAGTCATCACTGTACTTAGGGTTAGCTATTGAACTCATAACATTTCATTTTGCCTAGAGTTCTATTTAGATTTTAGCCTACTATATCAGATTTTAAAGATATTAACTTTCTTATTAAGCACAAACGCTTCATTTTATCACCAATATCTTAGCCATAATAATCAGTAAAGCATTATGTTGAGTTCCTAAAATCTGACCGTAATTAAAATTCGTAAGTCTATTTTTGGCTAGCATTAATAGCGTTTATCAGGCTCACCTACTTTTTCATAATCATAGCTATAACGAGCATTTTTAAGAGCATTACAAATAAGCAACTAAATGGCATTGATAAGTCTGAGTAGTATAGCAAGATAATATTTATCAAAATAATATGTATCAATTACGATTAGTATCGGCATGAACTAATAACGAAAGTGTGAAACGTTAAGTGAGTTTGCTTTCCAAAATTCTCATAATATTGTTCTATAGCCATACTAGTAGAAAATAAATTTAATTTTACTTTCGCCTACCATTATTTATTGAGGAATGCTATAATTAAAAGTTTTTTTCGTAGAGCTGCTACATTCTTATTGATATCTGCGAATACTTAAGGTTGGTTATTTCATAAAACACTAGTCAGTACCTTGAAAACTTGTGGTACTATTATAACATTCTGGAACATTCATTCCTAAAGGACATTTACAAAAATAGGCAGATCCTCCTGTAACCTGATAGGAAATGCATCGGCCAGCTGTGCATGGATTGCTACTGCAAGGATAATCCGAGCCATCAATTGCTGTTAGCAGAAAATGAACCATATTTAATAAATGAACTCAAAAATTATTCAAGTATATCGACTATGCTAAGTTTATACTTTTATTTAATACAGTGTTAAGGATTTATGTCTAGAATTCTTTCACGATTGTGTTGATAAGTTAACAAATTAATTTGAAAATAATTATTCATAGTAATTCATCTAACTTAAAAATTTGACTCACCAATTTGGCATGATTGTCCTGTGAACCCTTGGTAGCATAAACATTTTTTTATGCTGTTGACTTCCAAACACATTCCTTGCATGCATAGGCTACCATTACAGCTTTGGAATTGTTCATCTACAGAGTGGATGTAAAGTATTTCTTAGCTGAAAAATTTTGCTACTTTTTGTTAATTGCTGTAAGCGCATGATTTTAATATTATTTGCCATCAGAAAAACTTTGCTCATCTACAGTATAGTAGCACATAATGGGTAACACGTCTGAATAGTTCATAATTCCATTAATTTCAACGTAACCTCAAATTTGCATATATACATTAAAGAAAATTTGTCGTAAATTTAAGATTGAAAATCAACTACTAGTACTGGCAATATCCTTTATCAAAATTCCGAAAATGCCGCATGCTTTACGAAAACTTATAATTCTGTGGCTATATAAAATGCCAAGGTATTTCTATTTCAAAAATCATTGTTTCCAAATTTTTATCATTACCATACGGAATAAAATTTATGTAATTTATTGAAGTAAGCCGCATAGGTGTTATTTTATAAGTTAATGTTTACAATTTTTTCGTCAGTATCACACCTAAGGTGGAATATCAGTTATCGACTTACCACTAGGTTCAGCCTGGGCGAAATTAATTGCAAGCTGATTGCACGTCACCAAAAGAATATGAAAAGCGAAATAATAAAACTTCATATTAGTTTTTTTAACTAGCTCAGATCATCTAGATCTGTAACATTTTCAGGTACTCATTGTGTCTCTTTGAAGCTAGCATTATCTGTGTAATAATTGGTCAAAAAAAATGCCGTATAAATTATGCTAACAATTACTTGACAGAAATTTCTGACACTTGAAAGGTAATCTACTAATATTGGATTTAAGATCTTTCAAAAAGAAGTAAAAAATAGGGCTTTCTTGTAATATAATAATATCTATATAATTATAAGTACTAATATTCTATAGGATCATAGTTTGAATCAACCTTATTGTCATACCAAAATTTGTCATTAATTGCAGAGAAGGTTGCTAAATGATACAAAAACTTAGATACAGAATATATCAATAATAGCATTGAAGCAATGAAGGACAGTAAATCACATTTAACTAATGAAATAACGTGAATCAAGCACGGTTGAACACATTGGCTAATATTTGAAAGATGCTAAAGTGTAAACATTTATTACAATGTCGTAAACTGCTTCCGGTAAATATCTGAGACGAGTGACAAGAGCTTAAACTTCAAACTTAGAATGTATAATAAAAGATAAATCTAAAACTATTCCTTCCTGTAAATATGTTTGATAGCTATTGTACTGACTTTAAAAATTTAAGACATTAGCGCGAAACACAAAATAGATGAATCTTAATTGCTAGTCTATGGGATCGGTACATTTTAGTTCTAAATTTACTTTATCAAACAATTAATAGCATTGTTACAAATTTGGTTGTAACGAACGCTTTGTTAACGCTTTAGTATCGCTAAGATTAGTTAATGATTATTAATAAATTACTTCAGAACGACATAAGCTGATGAAGATAAATATATAACACCTAAATTGCATCGAGGGCTACTGAGTATGGAATATCCATTTAACATCTTATAAGCTACTAAAATTATTTATATGACGCATTTACTTACTAAGTAAAATTTAAAGTAGACAGTGCTACATAAATTTTCTCGTATGCATTCGTGCATGTATCTCACTATTGAAAAATTATTTAGCAAAACGAGCTCGATTTTTATATCTAGCTCGAAAATCATAGAGAATGAGCATTGCAACTTTCGGGTAAGAAATTAATTGATATTATTAATCAAGAAATTAAGACGAATAACTTTCTGAAAGCACTTAACTGTTGCTAAATGGCTTTAGATAAATAGGATATCATGCCGACAAAATAAATAAAATAAAAAGATAGCATAGAACAATCAACTTACCAAAATAGTTACTAAACACTTTATGACTGATAGCATTCTCAGTCCTTTTGAATTGTTTGACGAAATCGCAGTGATTACAAATATTCTAATACAGTAGTTTAGATATATCTCGTGGAGTATACCTACAGTACTACATTCTTCGGTGTCGATGAATAAAATGATTTAGGAGCAGTTTCTTTGGCTATTTTATAACAGAGATATACACGCCTTGACATGCGTAAACATGCCAGAGAAAGATTTAATATAATCCTCCCATATTTATCTAACTCGTAAGAGCTAACCAATGATTATAATCATTTTAAAGTACAAGGTGCGGTGTATAATTACAACTCGTGACCCTTAATACATACTTTAGAAATTCCGCAACTTGAGTAGAATCGGCCTTAAATTTGCATAATTAAGAGCTCATACATCCTTTGAAAATTAGGTGTGCCGTAATTTTTTATTAATTGAAGTTTTATTTAAATCACGTGTTTGTCCTATTCGTAAAATATTTTTAATATCGCTAGGCAAATATTAACTTCATAGTTTGATTTTAACTATATACATCAGTGCAATTTGCATATATTAGCATATAGATACAAATCATACAATAACTGCGGTGATGTTGCACCTATGATTTAATGGGTCCTTTGTGGTATTGAAGTTTAGGAACGCAAAAAATTTCCAAGATAATCACCCTTTAGCTTTGCATAATTTGTTTGACTATTAATAGATTCTTAAACCGTAAGCCAGGAATAGTACTTAAAGGTCGTTATAATTTTTACGTAAACGCAGTGAACATATTAAATTCATGAAGTAGCATGATCATAAACTGGAGAACTCAAAGTTCAGCTATAGCAGCTTCACAAAATTGGAGGCCTTAAAAGTAAAAATTTTGTTTTCTATTCCTTAACCAAACAATGTTCTCGAAATTTTTTTAATTTCGAATGATTAATGATAATTTTATAATTAAGATTAGCTCGAAACATTAGAACCTTTTGTGAAATTTGTTTAACCAAGAACAGATTCTTAATTAACCATCAAAGGAATAATACTTAGAGGTTATTCACATTTTTATCTAAACCTAATTAGTATAATTACAGTCATCTTGAGGAGATGCCATATAAACAGCCACCAAGATATTATACTCTGTTAACTAATAGAAATACCTATGTCATCCTCATAAAAATGTCTAATCTTTTGTTTGAAATTAAACGTAGAGAAAGGTAATATAATAGATTATTTAAGTTGTCTCTGTCCTTCTAACATATTAGGCGTTACAGTTGGAAGAATCATTTCTAATTATAATTATATGCATTCCTTGGAGAGGTGGTATCAAGCAAACGATGCTACTGCTCTAGCAAAGGCTACTTTAAAATTTTTAGAGCAGTTATTAATGATAACATTAAAATAGTCATTGTGAGTTCGATGAGTTGGCACTAGCGGACTTCGCTCCATTTCAGAGAATGACAACAAAGATGTAAGTAGAAAAATGGATAATTTATGATAAATAATAACCGTGTGCAACGTGATAGTTACTATAACGCAGCGTATAAGGTGTCGTGAAGTAATAGGAGAAAATACTAACACAGCGATTATTACAGCTGACAAAGTCTGAGGCAGATATCGTTAGTATTAGAGTTTTAGAGACAGCACGCATGCAGAGAATAAGATTGTAAAATCACTGTAACTATAACATACCAATATCCTATTACAATCTATGTGATGCCAAACAATTATCGAAAATAGCAAAGACTGCAGGAGTATAAGTGCTGTAAATAACTAAACATGCAAGCTGAATTTGAATATAGTACAATAAGACTGCAATTGGATCTATATTTAAGAACGATATAAAATGTCTATATATAAGAGCTTATTCGAGTTACTGTACGATCTGAATACAGTACAGACATGGTCGCAACTTTTTAGTAATCATTACCTATTGTATATATATAAATGTATAGGACAAGGTAAACTTTGTACGTTGCCGTTACTGCAACTCATTAATTTTTAGCGAAAGAAGAGTTTGTAGCTAAGGATATGATGAAAATGAGAATTTGCTACAAGTACGTGAATACTATTTAAATTTGAATGTACTGTAGAACATGGAAAATAGTGAAAAAATGGAATGACTCCAAAAGGTAAATGAGATATCTCAATTTGGACTATTCATCTAATGTTATACTTTATATTCTAAAACTTTATATATTTCATAATATTGAAAGTTAGCTTTGTTCCTTTAAATAATTATTTTACACTTATAGACGACTTATTAATTACGAAAATAACTGCGGATAATAAGTTTACTGAACTTCTTCAAGGTAATGATGATCTTGATGACCAAGAGCCTTATAGACGGATGAGTGACTGTATGTTCGATGTTGAATAATGCAATACTCGTCGTAAAAGATTTCGTTAATATTATAGACGAAACAAGATTTTATTCGTGATTATATAGGTCCATGAAATGTATATGCTTTTTCAGTCAATGATGTAGAAAGCAACCTATTGCATCCAGTAGAAATTATTAAATTAGATGTGGAGGTTTAGTCTTACTTTATTTTTCCTTCATCAAGCTTTAATATTGATACTTGATAACGCTTAGTTTTAGAATAACTGGAAAAGTATCTTATTTCTATAAAACTTTTAGAGAATGATCTGATTAGATTTCTAGAAATAACTGCGTTCAGGTTGCTAATTTCTTTATGGGTATAACTGTAAACCACTCTTAACGGTCTTATGAATAAGTTATAACATAAAATCTTCTAGCAAAGCGTATAGCATTAGTGTTATTTCTTTGCATAATTGTCGCTGATTCCAAAACAATTTAAACTTTGAATTTAAATATCAGAATTTCATGCGTGTTACATTATTTCAGCAACGATTACAATATTTTAAATTTGGGTGATCAATGCAACCTAACTCTAGTAAAGGACCATTGTAAAACTTATAAAAAATATACTATGATATATAATAGCGGTGCTTTTATGGTAGATGTATTAGCTTACCTGGCCAATCGTCCTTTTCTATATGATATAGTTAGTACGACTTTAAAATCTACTTTTAATTAAAGTGATTAACTAAGATTATTATTTAATTTATTAATTGTATCTGCTTTATATAGCAAAAAGAATACAGAATATAGCGAGTAAAACTTAATGACTAAGCCACAGATACAGAGTGCAATTAAAATACCACTTAACTATAGTGTTACCGTGGAAATTATTGTGGCGTTAGAATAAATTAATAACAAAAAACAAAGAAAAATAAATTGATACATTAATCACCAACTATTTTTGCTATTTTAAAAGCGGCTAATTTTGGTCAACCAGCAATATCAGATACAATCTAAACAATTAAAAATTTACGGTTTTAAAAATTCTGTTACCTCGCTTGCATGTTAATGTCGCAAATTTACTATACAGGATATCTCCGTTTACTCTATAATCCCTAAAGATAAAGAAATAATTAAAAAACAGGCTTAATATTAATGGGATCTTATGGGTTACCGTACTAAAGAATGGGCCCAATATCGTCATATTCGAATATAGCTTTTTCTTGTTACCATTGCATCTGAGAATATAAGCCGCCAACATGACGACCAAAAAGACTTCAGCGGAGCAAAAAGCAATATCAGAAATGGATGGAGCTATAAGTAAATTTTATCAGCCTTAAATTATTGCTGTAAAATAGGAACAAAGTCTGTTTATGTTATCAAATTAAAGCTAAATGCAATCCTATAAAGAAGACAAAACCGATAAATGAGGATACTAAAACG